GTGAGGAATATCACATTCAATGAAGTACAGAGGGCAAAGTTCAGACTGTGTGCCTGCATTTGTAGAGAAATGCTGCATTCAACAAAAGAAGTGATGCTTCCTTTAGTCATCATCCTGGACTCTTAAGTTTAAAGTGGAAGCTTTTCTCAGCTTTGTATTCGTAATAATCTTACAGACCTTTCTGAAATCTCGACACAGTGATCCTGATGTTGTTTATCGTCCATCTCCAGCGGGTGTTGAGCTTCTCTTGGTCACCTGCTCCTCCAGCCCCTCTCCCTGCTGTCCTCTCTCCGCACATGGCTGTATGAAAAAAAAAAAAAAGGGGGCGGAGCAAATGGTAACAAAAGAGGGAAGGATGGGCGTGAACAAAATGAACTCAATACAACAGATGGGAAAGTAATCATTTAATCTTGATTGTTTTGTTTTCATGATGATAGGAAGCCAAAATTGTAATCGAAAGTGAAATTCAATCAATCGTCCAGCAGTTTCGTAAATACCACATGCATAAGTTGCAAAACAGGAAGGAAATGTGGTGATTTGTGTTACAACAAAACCAAATCAGGAACTATCGGTCATATTAAGAGATTTGTAGAGAGTTAACACAAAGTATAGATGAGACATAACGGGGCGGCAATAGAATTATCGTACCAGAGACTGAAAATTATCGTATTTTGGGGAAAATTATCGTACACCCGTCATAATCAAAATAACAATCTTACTATTGCATGATAGTCACATGAGGTCACTCTGTTTCAGGCACTCAAGATTTTGTGGCTACAGTTTTGTGGTCATTCAACCCCGGCCCCACATTAGCAGCATGTGATCAGACTTCCCGACTGAGCATTATTGACAGCCAATCATGCTTATTGTTCGGAGACAAACATCACTCAAACTACGATTGGATAGAAACATCACGTGGTAAAAGATGTCTTTAGGGTTCGCAAATAAACTACTGAAAAATGAAACTGTCAAATTATCGTACATTTAGCCTTTTTTTCTGGGTTATTGATCGTACATTGTACAGAGGGAAAAATTATCGTACAAATCTGATAATTATCGTACCACTGGCAACCCTTGTGGGGCGCTGATGATTCCTGTCCACCACCTTTTACCACATGTCTTTCCCCACTCTTTACTCCCTGCATCTTCGGCCTTTCTTTAGCTGTCCTATCTAATAAAATCAAAAATACCCAAAAATATAACTTGGAAAAAAACTGAAATTTCACTCAGCTTGATGAATACGGTAAAAAAATTTTAAAAATTGCTTTATGAAAAAAGGTCCTGTCATTAAAGCTCTTTTGAATTTAAGTAATAAGGAGATGAAGATTACTAATTCAAAAATCCCGACAAGCCCATCTATGTTCATTCTCTGTGATCTTTCCTTCAAAGTCAAGTCAAAGTCAACTTTATTGTCAAATATGCTATACATGTTAAACATACAGCACAGATGACATTTCAGTCCTCTCAGACCCCCGGTGCATAACAATAAAATATAAGAATAAGAATATAAAAGTATAAATACAGAATAAACAACTAAGCTTCCTTCATCTTCCTTCATCTTCATCTTCAATCCCTTCATCTTCGTGACTTAACACAGAAACTTTCAAAAAGTCTCCTGCACCTCACTGGTTAAACACAGCATGAATAAATGATGCTGAACGCCAGGATTGATATCAAACCAACAGGAAGAGCAACCAACACAAACAGGATGTGTTTTTAGTGCATGTTTAGATCAGTGGAGTCTAGTGGGAATTATTACAACCCTGTCTATGTGTGTGTGTGTGTGTGTGTGTGTGTGTGTGTGCCCATGTGCGTTAACATCATCTTATGAGTGAGTGCTCAAATCTTGCCTTTGCGTGCTACATCTCTTAGCATTGAGGAGCACATTTCATCTATATTTACTTCCAAATGGTGTTTTAACTAGGTCAGCTAACTAACAGAAATAGACTGCTGTAGACTGGACTTGAGACGATCAGTGGTGACATCTAGTGGTGAAAAGGAGGAAGTGCTGCATGGTTGAATATGAATTCATACTGAACATGTGGCACTAAAAAGAAGAGGATTTGAAGAGTTGTCTTTTATTTAGTCTTCTTAAAAACACATGCTGTTTGTTTTTGAGGGTTTGCAGTATTTAGAGTGATGACATTGAGTTAATTTTCTTATTTGTAGGGATATTTTTGGTTCTGTTATTTAAAAATATGTGGCTATTGATAGTGAAGCTAATCCTGGAAGAGGAACAAAATGTATGTGATCATTGTCTAAAATGGGATTTTGCTGGGCTTTTTTGTCTCATCTTTAAGTTTGGACAGCTGGTTTGATCATTGACCCACTTTATAAACTTTTTCCAAATGCTTAAAGAAATTGTAATACGTGCCCTTTTCTCTTTTGTTTGTAATTTCGTAACTCAAACTCGATTAAAAAATGCAGATTTATCAAACTTTCAGCCCAAGAAACACACATATCTGCACAACCATGTGTCACTCTTCATGTACTCCCTCTAATCTCTGCTGCTCTCTCCCTCCCTCCCTCTTTATCCCTCCCACACTTCCCCCTTCTACCCTTCTCACTCAAACAACCTCCCACCCTCTCACTCTCTCTCCCTCTCTCTCTCTCTGTCGTTCTCTTTTCGCTGCTTGTAAGCGCTCTCTGGGCGTGCAGCCAGCTGGCGTGTGTGTGTTTTTTGAATGAATACCTGATGAAGTTGGCCGAGTGAACCGTGGGAGGGGCCCCTGAGTGTGTGTGTGTGTGTGTGTGAGTGTGTGTGTGTGTGTGTAGGGCAGACAGTGTGAGAGCTCTGGCTCGCGTTCAGCCCCTTGCATAATACACGTTGGAGCTCTGCATGCGGGACTCCCTCCCTGTGGGCGTGTGCAAGTGTGCGCTACTAAATTTGTGTGAATGTGTGTGTGTGTGTGTGTGTGATCACCTGAGCGCTGTGTATCAGTGTTAGAGAGGGAGCTTCCTGCCTCGCTGTCAAGATACAGGAGTGGGCAGTTTGCGATGTATGTGTGTGAGTTTGGAGGGGGGGTGAGAAAGGGTGAGAGCAGTTTTATAGCACACTGAATCCGATCTGGATTTTCAGCTGGGGTAGGGGAAAGGAGAAAGGGAGACGGAGGGAGACTCCTTGGGGTGCTTTACAAGGCGCTCAGTGGAGCAGGAGACGGCAGAAGTTGGGGGAGGAAAAGAATGAGAGGGGAAAGAGAGGGAGCATGCTGCAGAAGTGGGCTACTCCTGCTACCCTGGTGAGTACACTTCACACAGTTTTTGCTCTGAATGAAGTGTATATGGTTGCCAGAGAGTGTCAGCGTATGGTTGTGAGTGCGCGTCTATGTGTATGTGTGTGCGAGTATTGAAAGCTCGTCTTGTTGTATCACAGTATGTCATTTGTAAGTGCGTACTGCGTCTGCCCTACTTTTTCCTGCAATCATCGTAGCTTGTTTCTCCCCATTCGGCTGCGTCCTGAAGTGTTTCCTCTCTCCTCCTCTCTTCTCCTCGCTTTTTCGTCATTCCTATTTTCCTCTCACATTTGTCATTCCTCTCTTTCCATTGGCTCTTTCTATCCTAGCCTCCCTCTTTCTGTCTGTCTACCCCCCCACCCCCACCCACACCCCCACCTCCCTCCCCTCTCCAACTTCAGGGTTGTCGAGGGGTGAGAAAGTGCAAGTCATGCAACGCTGCCTAAGTGTTTGTTTTCCGAAAGAGTCTCTCTCTATTTTTTTCTCACAGTCATTTGTTTTCTCTCCATCTCTGTCTCTTTGTTTGTGTAACTCTTAACCACTCTCCCTCTCTCTCTCTTTCACTCTCTCTCTTGCTCTTGCTTCTCTTTTTTTCCTCTCCTCCCTCCTTCCTTCCCTCCCTCCTCTCGTCTCATCCCCTGCTTCTCTAGCTCTCTGTCTCCATCTGTCCTCCATTACTCCCTCACTATCTGACCACACTCCCATGTGTGTGTATTTGTTGTTGTTTGTGTGTAGTGGAGAGTGGCAGCCTTGTCAGAGTTCCCAGTCTGGCAAGGGTCCCTGTGATGCGCACACACACACACACACACACACACATTCACACATATGCAAACACACACACACACACACACACACACCCACGCTAATGAAAAACCACAGAGAGGAAGAAAAAGAGAAGGAGAGACGAAGAAGTATAAGCCTGCAGCAACACTGTACTTTCCAGTTGAACTAAATTTAGAAGTGAGATAACACATCACGTTGGACTTATCCCTTTGATCATGATTATGACTGGGCCATCACACACACACAAACGCACACACACACAGACTTATCTACAACAGAAATATGCAGCCCATTTGCACCACACTTGCATGTAATGTTGCCTTTATTTAGCTGAATGGTTCTGCAGAGAGAAAACACTGACATATTGGTTTGTTGATACCAAAGCAACACAGAGTTGTGTATTGTTATTTCTATCACAAGACACAAGGCAGCGCATTGTGTAACCTGCTGTCACTGTTGTGCTGTTGTGGCGTTTTACTTTCACACACTCAGCCTGAGTGCTGGGAGGAAATATTTGGCCTCCTGACTTTTTAACAGAAACTCCCATTTACTCCCTGTTCACTCCTAAGGGCCTGTGTCCACTAATGGCATCCCGGTATTTTGTATTTGTAGTTTAACATTTTAAACTCTGCCGCATCTATCAATGACCAATCAAAATTAAGAAAGGAGAGTACTTCCTCTATCAGCTGTGGCAACAGTCGTTGAGAAGGTCCATCGAGATAGCACAATGGGAATGCTACAGCACAATATCTATCTGCAGTGTTTTTATGTTCTCTTTGTGAAAGCAAAAAATGGAGCATATACCAAGAGATGCACAAGTGCTTTTTTGTAACCTAGCAACATCAGCAAGAAGCACTCTCAAACTAAGGTCATGGGTACTGCCAGTTCAATGAAACACTGATAGAAAACATAGGCCCTAAATGTCACCGTGGGACGTTTTGATTCAGTGTTATGGTAGTTCTAGTAAATTTGGCTTCTGAAGGGGACATACTGTGCAAAGTTTAATGTCATTTAGTGGTAGCCCAATACTCTTAATACAATCTTATTTTCATATTGTCCCCAAAGGTTTATTTTAGGATTGTAACTATGCACTCAACCTGCAAAAACAAAACAAAAAAATACATAAGCAAATGCAAGATTTTTATTCAACCTCTAGAGAGATTTTTCATGTAACTGGTGTGGTGCTTTTATTTTGAAAGGATATAAAGGAGATACTTCCACTAATTTGCAAAAAGACAGTTGTTGTGCTATTATTTTGAAAGGATGTAGTAGATACTTCCTCTAAATCTGTGTTTCAACTGTGTTCTTAATGCCTGTACAGTGTCCTTGGGTGTCCAGAAAGGCGCTTTTAAATAAAATGTATTATTATTATTATTATTATTACCTGTAGAGTCTGTATTCTCTGTAGTCTGTATCAGCGACATATAACCTGGAGCCTGAGAGAGAGAGGGTTATCATATACTCTTTTCTTAACGGCAATCTAATAGGATGAAAATTGATTTTCTATGTGTAAAAAAAACTACATGCTGTAACGTCAAAATTATCATCTACTGCAGATGTAAACATGATGACCTGAACTGGAGACGTCAAAGTCATAAGCAGCCGCTGCTGATTTGTGTTGTCTCTTGTATGTATCGATTTTTTTCTACTGTCTCACTTACATCCCTGGTTGGTTGTACGGAGACTTGTGATGCAGATAACATAAAGTGCTGCTGTGAAAGTTAAAGGGCGTTGCACACAGAAAATGCAGAGGAACTTTGAACCCTTAAAGCCTCTTTTAGACTTGTTTGCATGGGATATAGCGCAGTTGCTGTTGAGTAAAGTTGCTTACAAAGAAAGCTCCTTACACATGTTCTCTGCGGCTCTGAAACTGAGTGTTGATGCTGTTGGATTGTTCGTTGATATTTTGTTGAAGTTTAACCTGAAGGCACTCGTACCCCTACCGCTTTACTAAAGTAGAAGGGTGTTTCACTAAAGCGTAACATCATAAGTCACAATCATTAGACAGTGTGATATAAAACTCACACTTTTTCATGATCACAGTGTGTTCAGCTGTACCGTACAGTTTCGTATGCCTGCCTGCTTGTGTGCGTGTGTATCAGCATGTGAAAGGGGTGACACATATACACCTCCCTGTTTTTTACCATAGAAGGATAGTAGCACACTACATGGCTGAATGATTCAGATTACTGACTCACAACGAGCTTTCTTCACTACGTACTCGTGTCACAAGAAGTGTACAATCACACACACACACAAATACACACACAGACACACACACACTTTGGAAAGTTCGTCCTTTGTGTTTGTGAATGCGTGTGTGAGAAAAGAGACCAAGCACATGGAGGACAGACAGCTCTGGTTACAGGTCAACTGATATCCACTCACACACACACACACACACTCACAAACACACATACACATACACACACACTGCAAACTCAGCAAGATTCAGGTGACATAGCTTTTCACTGAGTGTGTGTGAGTGTCAGTTTCGGAGAAGTACTCTCTCCTTTTTGCAATGTAGGTCACTTGAGCTGGCCTCTCTCCCTCCCTTAAACTCTCCCATGCGTCTTAGGCCTCTTCTTACTTGAATACCCATGGTCCTCTCTTTCTTACCTCTTTATATTCCTCCTTTAAATATCTGTATTGATCTTCCTCAGGCTCTCTCTTCAGTTGTTGTTTTTGCTTTTTTTCAAAGTTCAAAATACGGCTCCTCTCTGTACAGGTTAAAAGTAGAGGACTTTGCCCTGGGTACTCTTTACATTTACTTCTTTCTCTTTTCTTTCTCCCCTTTTTTCTTTTCTCACTGCAGGATAATGTGAAGTAGAAATAAAAACACTTTCCGCTTTGAACAAGAATGTGGGTATGTGTTTGTGGATATAAATCTCACCATTATTCCTGCTTTTTAGCACTGTTCACATCACTTGTTCTTGGATGCTAATATGATTGTTTTGGTTCACTCCCAACTCCCTTATCACTGTTATTCCCATGCAAAGCAGGCGACAGATGAAATAAGCGACCAGTTGTGAATATATTGGAGCATTTAGCCCTTCTTTCTTAGACTGGGTGGAAACAAACCCGGCTGCAGATGAATCCTAATAATGCCAAGTGTCTTAATGACGTTTTGATGGCCAACAGTTATATGGCAGTATTTTACTTGTTTCTGCTGATTTTTCTCAAATCATTTAAACCCTTTATTCCACTGAGGATAGACAATAAACTGAAGAATTGTATCGCTTTATATGCTAACTTAAAAACTCAATTGGGAGAGGGGAAACAAAACACTTTACTTTTTAAAGGCTTATAGTTAGAGATGGCTCATGCTGCTGTAGGTTTGAACTGCCAGAGTATTGGCATATTGAGTACCTTCCTCTCTTTCTCTTTCCTCTTTCTGTCTGTGTCTTAAACTTTGAATCATCATGTCTCGTTAGAGTCACAAATACGCAGTCTTTTCTGGGAGTCCCTGTGCTCTGGTATGTCGTAGGTTCCTCTGGATTGCTGCTGCAGATGTTTTGCTGCCCTTGACCTACCTTCTTTCCAGCTGCTTCAACTATCTGAATCAGTCTCACCCCTATCCATCTCTCTCTTTCTACATCTCCCTCTATTTAGTTTAGTCTGAAGCTGGTCGTGAGGGCTAGTAAATAATAACAGAAAAGGAGAGCAGCCTGAGGACTCACTGGACACAACCACTGATAGGGAAAAGTGGAGAAAGATCCTGTCCTGCAATCCAGGCGATGGCAGCAAAGCTAGCCAGCGCTTGTCCAAGACGCAGTTAGAGGCAGTAATAAATTGCGACATTTGTCAAGTTTATGTTTAAAGGTGTTTTACAGCAAAACTCAAAGAAGAAGTTACGGGTGGGAATCACTAGTGGCTATAATATTATCACGATACTTGGGCCACGGCACGATATTATTGCAGTCTTTATTATTTTGCAGTACAGTTAGAACTGCGATACAATATATCATGATTTATACATTTTTTTCAACTGTTTAGCTAATTTAGCATTTGTCTTTCCTTTATGTTTGTTTTATTTATGCTGTATTTTATTTTCATGTAGCAATCCTTGCAAAACTTATATATTTTTTTGTTGTACTAACTTTCTCCTGCTCTAAGATGTCACCTCTGCCAACCTCACTGGACAAACAATTGATTTTATTTTCTATTATCATAGATTTGACTTCAGATTAGCAATTAATTTGATACTTTTGATACTTGATAAATGAGATGATATGATATATCACAAGACAAAATATCCCACCCCTACTATTTGGTACGCAAGAGGCGCCAAAAGTAATGGGAACAGAAAAGTCCCCTCAGGAGCTTTAGGTAGACAGTCATTCAAAATGATTACTCTTCTCGCTGTTATAGTTTACAACCTCACTATTGCTATTAAAAAAAGTATCCTGTGATTCGCCTCATCAGACTCAGTTGTTCAAAGCACACACAAACTCAGGGCTTGCAGTGTTCTGAACAGTGTACACGATATCACATTGCAAAACGCATGTTTTGTTTCTCCTTGAATGCTCAGACACCTTTTCTTCCAATGCCAGAGTGAACTGTCAGTGGAGACATGCCTCTCTCTGAAGATAAAAGCCCATGTAGATGGCAGTATTACAGATTTGCTGCTGGATGTACACACACTGTCAGTGTTTGATGTGACAGCTGATATGAGATGTCTCTAATCTGCGAGCTCTCAGACACATAACATTACTCTTATCTCAGAGTGTTAATTTGAGCACACGCTTGTTGAATCCGAGTAGACTGGCTTAGCTCTCTGTGTTTTCTTTTATTTCCTCTATAATGACTGGTTCTTATGACACAGCATTAGCATTAGGTGTGGTGCAGGATGGATGCCAGGAGAGAAGAAGCAAAGACATTACGAGACAGAGGATTAAAGAGCGTGTAACCATCAGATGAAAGAATAATTATTGAGAAAAGAGTTTCGAAGGAGGAGAGGTGGGCAGGCTGAGGCAGGAGTGGAGTGAAGTGGAGGTAGACTGAAGGAGAGAGAGGCGGGAAGATAGCATCTCACTCTGAGTCATGCCTGCACGATTGAACAGATGGTGTGTGCTTGGGAGAGTGTGTGTGCGCTTGCCACTGTGAAACAAAGCGTGTTTCTGCAGGTGCTCTTCCACTGTATGTGCATGTGAATTTGCATGTGTTTCCTCCTACACCTGTCTCTGCAGTGTCTATATAGTAGCACCGTGACACCTAAAAATCACAGGAATCTACCAGAGATGCAGGACGTTCTTTGCCCTGTAGAATACACTCAAACACACAACATGTACTCAGAGAGACAGTAGATGCAATTCATACCACTGTGTAGGAAATTGAAAATATGCCCCAGGACATTCGAGAGGTGTTGACCCAGTCATTCTGGCTGAAAGATGGGATCTTTTGTGGCTTTGCTGCTACAAAAGCGCTGTGTAATGGAGTCCAATGAGAGTAAAATGAGCGACAATCACCATCTTATATCCAGTGATGTCACCAGACCAGTTACATGAATGCCTTTTGCATGCTTTGCAATCACTTTTCCCCATATCTAAAGATCTTGGCATTTCGACTGCATGATAACAGATGGCTCAGTGTTTGGTAATTATGTCAAACAAGGGGCGTCTATTTCTCTGATAAGATAGCTCGGCTACAGTATGATGGTAAGTTTCCAATCTTACAGGGCTAACGTATTTTAACACTGATAAGTTACTACCATTCTAATTCACTTCCATTGTACTCCATTATAGGTTATATTTTTACACTTTCAAGGTTGTTAATTAAAATCAAGTGTTTTTCAGGCTATAATTCGCACCAGCCAAAAAATGCATAATGAAGAAGAAAAAACATATACCAGTATAAGTTGCTTTTTTGGGGGGAAATCTGTGTTGCAAAATCCAAGACAAAGAACAGACATTTCATCTCGAAAGGCAAATTATAATAATAATAGAATAGAGAACAACAAGCTAAATAGGTGTACCGTATGCTAACGTAACATCTTGATGGTTATGCAGCATAAAACAACAAACTCAGCAGATGTCTGGTATGTTAACATAACATATAAACAGTTATTCAGATAAGTTTTAGCATAAAGAACATAACAAACAAAGTTTACCAAACTCTCGATCTGAGTCGATATGAGTTAACGTCAATTTTAAATTTTCGGTGGTACAGAAGTAGCAGATACTGGTACATCAGCCTAGAGTGCCCTCTAGCGGCTGTCAGTGTAAAAATAACAAAAATGTGAAATTATATATTTTAATATATAAAAGCCGCACCTGAGTATAAGTCGCAAACCCAGCCGAACAACGAAAAAAATGGGACTTATCGTCCAGAATATACGGTAAATTTAATCTTTGACCTTTTTGAGCAAAATATTCCTACTTTTCAGCTGTTTCATTTTCACACTAATGTCGCAAAGTTTCAATAAAGAGTTAATTAAGGAGATGATTTGTCGTATCTGATACTTCTGTTCTACTTTAACTGTTGTTGCAGAACAAAAATTATGCCTGCTGTACATTTTTGTCCACTGTGAAAATACAGTAAACTGATAGTCAACCTTAAGTGTGCAAATGTGAAGTCTTTAAGTTGCTGGAACACATGGGCACGGCCTACGTGCTCTGGGTGTGCTTTGTGTGAGGAAAAGAACACGTGTCAGCATAATTGAATATGCCCAGGTGTCGGTGTTTGAGCTAGCAGGAAGGTGTGTGCCTGGTTGTCTGCAAGTAAGTGTGTAAGGGTTTGTGTATGCACTTGAAATGCTGATACATCTTTTATGAGATTCACACCCAGCTTTCCATTTTTTGCAGCAGGGGGTCCTCGCTAACAGATGGCGCGCACACACTTGGTTCACACTCACACAAGGTTTATTGAGAACAGCAGAGACTTTTTATCAAAGGAACAACTACTGCAGGGGCTAGAAAGTTCCTGGAGTAGTTTAGATTATTGCTGTTATAGATGTTCATCTCTGCAAAACCGATTTGATTTCTTTTAGTGGTTATTCTGTTAAAGCCCTCGACCGGCAGCTCTGTGGTAGACAGCAGCTGTTTTTCTTAAGTGCATTTCCACAATTTGGGTCTGTGTAAAAAGCTTTTTAAACTTCTTCACAGGCAGTCCAATCACCTACACCTGTGGGCTCAGCGTCTTTCATATTTAAGGGGATTTGGACTAACTTTACCTTGTTGCCAGGTGTAGTTGAATTGAGGAAACATGCATCCCTTTTCAAACCGCACTTTCCCCTAACAGTTTCCTCTCCTCTCTCTTCCACAGGATTGTGCTGGGTGTCGGCAGGCTTGCTTTTGCAGGGAAATGATTCCGCATGAAGTGCGGCGCACTCGGCCCCCCGTCGTTCTCGGCGGCAGCAGCAGGTGTGACGTTGTGACTCTCTCCCCTACCATACTGAGCTCACCCTTCAGCCGTTAAAGACCCCTGGACCAAACAGACCGCCCTACCCCCTCCCCACTAACCCCCCTTCCATATTTTCATCTCCATCTTTAATCCTTCCCCACCTGCTTGTTAGGGCCTGGATTTTCTTGATATCTCAAAAGACCCGATTGAAAGACCTTTGCTGAACTGGATAGAGAAAGAAAGAGGGGGAGTGTCGGGAAAGTTAATTTATAGCTAATTAAAGTGAGATAAAAGGCAGATCATCCAAAGTGAGAACAAGAGATAAGGAAGTGAAAAGAAAGTGTAAGAAGGAGAACAAAAAAAGAGAGAAAAGACTGTAGAAGTCAAAAGTTAGGAAAGATAACGAAAGTACAGTTGAAGGACGTGAGGCAGTCAGCATGAAGTCGAACACAGAACGCAGTAACGAATGTTTGCCCCCAAAGAAGAGGGAGATCCCCTCGAGCACGCTAGCATCTGAAACCCGCTCACCCACAATACCACCTGCCAGTGACAGCCAGCGCTCAGAGAACTTGGCGTGGCTTGCCAGTGTGGCTGGTGGGAATGAGAGTGGCGTGGGTGGGCACAGTAGCTCCAGTCAGTCAGACGGACCCCAGTATAAGTCCCTCTTCTCTACTTCAGACTCTTCATCCTCCTCCTCCTCTCTGAGGCTAGTTTCATCTCTTCCCACAGTGTACACATCCTCCCTGCCACAATCCACAGTTGGAGGAACTGTCCATTACACCCAGCTGCCTCCTAATCTACAGTTCATAGCCTCACCCTACCCTGCCCCTTACACAGGCTACATCTCCCCTCAACTGCTGCCTCCCCCTCCTCCACCTCCACCCCTTTCCTCCTCATCCTCCTCTTCCTCCTCCTCCTCTTTGGCTGCACAGAGATCCTCGCACATGGAGACAGTCTCTGCTCCTTCGCAGGCCTCCAAACATGACCAGCAGAGAGCATCCACAGGGCGTACCTCCATGCCGCCCCCTCCCACAGATCTCAACCCCCACCATGTTCAATTGTCAACCTCCCCACGGACTGTGCCGTCACCTCATCACCAAGGAGGTGTTCACCTTCCCCAGTCCCTGCATGCCCATCATTCTTTGGGACATGGTTTGTCCCAGGTTGTCGTGCAGTACATGGATGGACCCACCAGGAAAGAGGAAGGTGGTTCCAGACCCAGAGAGCTGCACAACGGAGAGCTGGAAAGGGGTCGGCGGTTTGGACCATCCCCTGAGTCCAGCCTCTCCAAACCAGGGAGCAAATCACGGGACTCAACTTCTTCTTTGGCCTCCTATGAGGCCCGCCAGCTGGTCCTACCATCAGACTACTCTACTCATGATCCCTCAGGGCTGAGAACATCTGTCATGCTAATGCCCAACAGCCATGTAGACCATCAGCTGGTACCACCAAGACCCAATCATGACAAACTGACAACCTCTGCCCCTTCACATCTAGAGAAAGGTGGCATCCTCTTGGGCAAACCTATCAATCGAACGCCAACCTCTTCCAACACCACCTCCTCCTTCACGTTCCCACCACCAATGAGTGTCAACAGCCTAAAGGCTACCGTCAGCACTCTGTCACCCCAGACTGTTATTCAGACCACTCATAATGCTACAGAGTCTTTATCAATGGGGCTCCCTGCCACTAGTATCTACCCACAGCCACCCATCATCGGTTACATCGCAGGGGGCAGTGGCAGCCAGCATACACCACTCAGCTACCACACCAGCTTACAACAACACTTACTCATTCCTGGCGCCCAACCAGTCATCATCCCTGTCAGTGGAGGTGGAGTCACCACACTGGAAACGGTAACCTCCCATGTAACATCATCCACCCAAGCTGCACCATTTCCCACCACACTCCCGCACACGTACATTGCCCCCACTGCCCCTAAAGGAGAAACTCTGGAAACTCACAGCGGCTCGTATCACCAGGCTGCTTCAGGTGCAGTGGTCCAAGCCCAGTTTCATCTCCCAGTTGTTCCTGCTTCACCTGGGCTGGCCGCTCCTTCTGCTCCCCCTCAAACACTTAATACGGTGGTTCCACCCTCGCTGCCCCCATATTTCATCAAGGGCTCCATCATCCAGCTGGCTGATGGGGAACTGAAACGCGTGGAGGATCTGAAGACAGAGGACTTCATCCAGAGTGCCGAGATCAGCAGCGAGCTGAAGATCGACTCATCCACAGTGGAGCGCATTGAAGGGAGCCACACCTCACCCAACTTTGCCGTGGTTCAGTTTTCTGTTGGTGAGCACCGCGCACAGGTGAGAAACCCGGGGCAACCTTCATTTAATAACAGTGTTAGTAATTGGTGTGACATTTTTGGGTGGGCCAGGCTTTGCTGGAGGCAAAACAGTATGCTGTCTTTGGCTTGTGTTTGACATGATCCAAGATATCATGGATCTCTGTAAATATATGGGGCCACTTGCTGTCTGGAACCATGTTGCTTAAAAAAAGTCAACGCTGATATGATGTGGCTGAACTATAATGATTTGACAGGGCTGGATATTTACGTTTAAAAGTAAAGTTAATAAAGTTAGCTAAGACAAACCAAGGGCATGTAAGCAGTAGGGCTGTCCCAATACGATCCCCAGGGCTGCAACGATTAGTCGACGTAATCGATTACGTCGACACGACAAATTAATCGACAGGAAAATGAAGCGTTGAGTTATTGTAGTTAAGAATCACATGCCGGCGCCTCATGCTCATCTATAACTGCAGTGCACTACAGGATGTGCTGGGGGCAGTAGCGCTCGCTGTTTACATCCCGCGAGCAAACACAGAAGAAGAGTGCACGCATTATGGCAGAACAAACTGAAAAAGACGCTCCAAAACTCCGACCCAAAACTTCAAAAGTTTGGGAACATTTTACTGAGAACAAACCAAAAAAACACGTCGATCAAAGCTCAGCTTTCCTACCATGGCAGCACCACGGCGATGCATGAGCACCTGAAATGCCGACACCCCAGAAATAGGTGTTTATAAATAAAGAAGATAGTGATTAATCGTGATTAATCAGACGACTAGTCGATAGATTAGTCGACAAAAAAATTATCGTTGCAGCACTATATTGGTATAGGATACCGGTTCGATATCAGCAAAAAAAAAATCGTATTATATCGGGCTGCATCTAAGCATGCAGCATGCAGAGCCAACATAATCATAACAACAGTGCATACTAAGGTACTAAAATAGTAGCAAAGAGTAGGGGTGATGTTGGCTTTGTGGCAGTATTTTTTGTTCAAGTCCGAGAAAGACATTTCAGCTGAATGGAAAACTTGTCATGCACAGTTTTTTTGCCAATATCAGATTAATATCGGTATCAGCCAATAATGAAGGCTACAACATTGGTATCGTATGAGAAGTAAAGAAGTTGTTTTGAGACACCCCTAGTAAGCAGGGATAACGATGGCTGAAATCCGTCCCTGTTACCCCCTCTTAGAAAATCTAAGCGTATATAGCCGTGGTTGTAATCCGAGTTGTAGATGTGTGAGTGAAAGATTTCTTTTAATGAGATATCCAATAAGCCTTGACATGTAGGCTGCTCTTAGTGTGTTTTATTAATGTTGAATGATTTGTGGAGCTGCTCCCTTGTTAATGAACAGGATGGTGAATCTCACAGGACTCTGCGATCTCCTCTGTAATTAAGTTCCTTGCAACCAGATGACTGTCATGTAACTAACATGCTCTGGGAACATGGTACAAATCACTCCTCCTTAAGTAGGCAGTAAAGCAAGAAGTGCACTTACAGAATATTTCAGTATTTTTTTAATGTAATCACAGGTTTGTCCCAGTTAGATACCTCAAAGACGTAGCTTCAGTTGTTCACTTTATCTCATAAAGTCATAAACAAATATCTCTTCTGTCCTCTTTTAGCATCTAGTTCCTTGCAATAATTCACCTTTTTTTTCTGTTGTCTGTCTACGGTTCTCTGTTACTCCTTCAAACACACTCACACCCTCACATTCACACAAACTCACCCTTCACACTGTCTTTGAGGGTGTGCGTTAAAGCCAGTTAATCTATTTCATCTGTCCAAGCTGTGACTCGTCCACCCACACAGCACATCTCTCGCCATCTCTCCCGCCCCCGGCTGCTCTTTGATACTGTACCCCACAAAAGCTGACAATCTTTCAAAGACCTCTCTCCTTCTCTCTCTCCTTCTCTCTCTCTCTCGTACTCCATCAGCGCCTCTTCTTACTCATTTCTGAAGAGATGGTAGCATTCTTGAGTCCACACTCTGAGGACTCGCTAAGGAGTCAAAAATTATATAATACAGGAGGGAAAATATTGCCCGCCTTTTGCATTGAGAGGCTGTATGATACATCTTGCTCTTGCATTGTTCTTGACATTGTTCTCTTTCTCTCTCGCTTCCTCTCTCCTCCTCTTGTCCAACCCTCTTCCTTTTTAGACATGCCTTTTCATCTTCATCCTCCAGTCCCACCTTTTCATTCTCTCTACAATATTTCAGATCCTCATTCACTTTATATCCTTTCTCCAGGGATTTATTTTCTCCTTCACTTTCTGCCTGTAATATCTCAAAGGGTTCAGTGCTTCAGTCAGACATCTCCTCCTTTTTTCCTTACATAGAAATAAAAAAGCAGATCCCAATAAGTTCTGCTGGTTCAGGATTTTTATCAGATGATGATACATAAAGACTTTCAACTCCCAGATACTTTTTTCATGATTATTATGTCGATATTCATCTGTGAGTAACACATAGCTCTGCCCCTTCAAAACCAATTACTTATTACATAACTATGTCGCTGTTTTGAAAAACTATGTCCCCAAACTTCTTTTATTCTGTTAAATTTAGACAAAACCAAAATCCTGCAGTCTGTCACTGAACAGACTCCTCTGGTTGATGATGATGGTCGCCCATAATGTCCAGTAGTTTGTCCATTGTCCTCTCCGCCACAGTCACTAGAGAGTCCAGCTTCATGCCGACCATAAAGCTTGTCTGAGTTTTTCGAGGCAAAATATAAATGTGAATTTGCAAATAGCCTGTAGACTCTTATTTAAACCCCACCAATACCTTCCTGTTCGATAAATTTTCACGTTTCTATGTTATTTCCCATAAATTGAAAAAACATATTGCTTCGCTGAAGGAGTCATTTTTTGATGCAGTTCGCCTAGTGGGTAAAGCATGTGGTCCATGTGCAGAGGCTGCAGTCTTGATTGCACTGGATGTGAGATAGATTTGAGATTCTGGCATGATTTAGTGTATGTCATTTTCCCTCTTTCTTCCCATATTTCCAGTTTCTTACACAGCTCATCTATCACTGAAAGGTCTAAAAATAAATGGAATAGTACAGAGCTTGACACTAACTTTTTTCACAAGTGGCACATGTGCTCCGAAGTTGAAAAAGTTTGGAGCACACAAAGAACTTTAGGGGCACAATGAAAATTGATCAAATAATGTTTGCCTAATTGGTTGACATAAGTATTATTATTTCGAATAAATTTTAGGTCAATTTGTCACATGACATGGAAGCTACTGAAGGAAAACAGCCTTTTCTGAGAATATCAACTGGTAATTTATTGATGGTCCCTTACTCAACACCCGACGTTGACAGCGAGGGTGCCGAGTAGATTTAACTGTGCTGTTGTTGCTATTCCCAGTTATGTGAGAAGACACTGGTAGATCCGCGGCAAATGTCTGTCGTATATCCAACCTAAAACTAACTTCACCGCAGTATTTACATGAAAAAACATTTGTTGCTAGTTTTTTTTATGCGCACCTGTGCCCCTAAATACATTTTACAATTCGCACACATCTATTTTTAGTCACAAATGCAAGTGAAATGGACGCACTGTCAAGCCCTGTATTATTTATTGGACTTTTAGGTTAGGGGGGAAATGTTTTCTCAGATTGTAACAAACTTTTAAAGGCCTTAAATCACAGCAGTTTTCCTTTTGTTGATGTTTCTTTGCACCGTTCTCGTTCCTCCAGGTGAGTGTGGAGGTCTTGTTGGAGTACCCCTTCTTTGTCTTCGGCCAAGGCTGGTCTTCATGCTGCCCTGACAGGACCACCCAGCTTCTGGAGCTGCCCTGCACCAAGCTCTCAGTGGGCGACGTTTGCATCTCACTCACCCTCAAAAACCTGAGAAATGGATCTCTAAAGAAGACTCAGCCCCTGGAGCTGCCCCCACCTGCTTCTGTCGCGTCCCCCAGCCACGGGCACCTCAAACCCCACAGGGCCGGCTCAGATGCTCCCCAAAGCTGCAGTGGAGGAGGTTCCTCCAGGCACAGTGAGCGGGAGAACGGCATCAGCCAGCGGGGGAAAGGTGGTAGTGGGAATGGGAGAGGAGGAGGTGGCACAAATGTGGAAAATGGGGATCTCAGCACAGAAGCTGGTTCCAGTAAGCCATCTGGGGGCAGGAAGCGGAGATGGTCGGCCCCTGAGGGTCGGAAAGTAGAAAAATCAGAGGAGGAGCCACCTTTGACCCTGCCCAAACCTTCATTCATCCCTCATGAGGTGAAAATCAGCATTGAAGGAAGGTCAAATATTGGCAAATGAAGGCCAGCGGGACTTAAAAATCCATTGAAACGTGGAAATAAAACACACATGGATTCTACAAAAACATGAATGCCCACATTAATGTCTCATTTGTCTCGGTTTTAAAGTTTCCTGTTTTATTTTTCTATCTTGAATACTGTACTGTAGAGGTAAATCTGCCCTACATGGTGTCACCTTACATGAAGTCCATGTAGTTTATAACACATTTTTTTATAGATGGATTTGATATCACACAAGCAATCAGTGCCGTTTTGGAAGCTTTCATGAGACGAGAGATTTGCGAGGCATGCCACATGTTTAGTGTTGTCTGTGCGGCACACAGAAGCAGCGCTTGATGCCTCTTCCTGGCTGGCTACACATAATGTTGGATGCTTATTCAATTAGCACACTTTTAGCTTGTAATCCCTGTGCACTTCTGGTGATCCTGTCTGGATGGAAACATTTTCTCACCACAAGAAGTGATTTGGTATCAGCTGAGTCTGAGCATGAAATTTATCTTCTTTCCAAACCAGACTAGAGGTCGGAAAACACACTTCTCCTTGTTTAGGGAATAATTAAAGCAATTGTGTTATTGCAGTGTCATTAGGGTGTGCCAGACCTTGCCAGTGATGTTATCAAGTGGTGCCAATGTGCCGCACAATAAGGAGGGAACAACACTCACTCTGTTCGGTCTTTACTTTTATTTTGCTTTTTTTTTTTTTAACCCTTCGTCTTCTATCTCGCCAGATAGTTGTTTTCAATGATTGTCAAAATACTTTAATCAGGGGTCATTTAGTCCAAGAATGAACCTACATGTGGGTCAACGTTAATGTATAGAAATGAGACACCCTAACCTGACACATACAAGTGCAAACACACTGGGTTGGCGAGCTTCACTTAAAGAGGAAGACTTCATACAATCCTCATCGTTTTTGGATAAATTGCTTCATATTTTTTATTTTTTATTGGTAGATTAGAAAAAAAGCTGCGTGAGAGGAACCGAGAAGATTCTGTGTGTCAGTCCTGGGAAGGTCAAGATATATTTGAAAGCACTTAAAAAAAAAAACCTGTCACACTCACCACACAGCCCAGAAATGTGTTGTTGTCTCTTTATTCACGCAGTACTGTATGTTTGTAGATTTAGCGACAGCACTTTGGAGAGGTGAAGCTTTTTTTCTAGAAGAGTTGCAGGAGTGGATGTGCCATGGGATCACAAAGAAAGGGATGATTTCAGGAGGTATATGTAGATGGTGATATAAAGGAATTTGGCTGTTTGAGCACGTGTGCTTGTACAGCTAGCTAGCCATGCAAAAGTTGTGGGAAAGTGTTGAAATGTGTTTTTTTAAAAAGTTTGGTAAAGGCTTTGAGTTAATCCCGATGATGTTTGAACTTGACTGAGAGCATTGGTGTAGGAGCTCACGCCACAGCATTTTGAAGGGTGTCATATATTGTAACTTTTGTGCGCTAGAGTGTGTGTGTGTGTGTGACGCTGGCCCACACACGCTTACACAAACACAAAGTCGTACATTACACACCATAGATCATTGAGTTTCAGGGATGGTCTGTTATTGTTGACACTAGTTGACTGACATTGGATTAATGCACACCGCTAACAGTACAGTGTGTTTATGTATGAGTGTATGTATACTGTGTTTAGGAAAAGGAAATATTCATATGATATATAGACAGTGCTAAATGTCCAGTGTTTCCACTTGGAGTTGTACTTAAGATAATTTTGCAATTTGCACATCAGGAGGAAGGAGAAAAAGACGGAGATGTAATTTTTTAAAATGAGCCCCAGACCACGTGACACACTGGAGGAGAGCAGGGTTTTTTTTTTTTTTTTGTTCCTCAACAGGCACACATCAGATTGTAGAAGAGCCGTTTCTACGGAAACGCAGTTAAGGTCAAAAGTGCTTTTGAGTTTTAGTGACATAACCATAGATCAAACCAGGATTTTAACATGTGCCTGCCTACTGAATTTTCTGACCTACGTTAGAGTCGTACCAATTATCATTCGTCACTTTTTTCCTGCTGTTGAAACCAGGATGCAGGGACTAGGATTCAGCCTCTGCCTTCAGCCAGCTTATCCGTCTGTTTGAAGCAGTTATCTCAACAGATACGCTCAATCGGATGTCTTGACATTTGTAGCTTTGTATGCAAAACTTTGAAGCTCCTCCGAGAATTTTCCTCGCACATGAAAGCCTGAGTTCCATTCCGTTTTTAGAATTTTGAAGTGCAATGTGAAGCGTGTGCAAATTAATGACCCTTAGGTTATAATACGCCATAAAAAATCTGGAATTTTTCTCTATCTTATCAGGAGGTTGCTGTCATCGTTGTGTTTTCAAAGAAGCGGGATTAATAGCTTCCCTCAAGCATATCTGTTGAGATTTCCACTCAGCTTATGGATGGTGGAGTTGAAGCTTTTAGTCAGCAGTGTGGTCAGTTGCCACTAAGGAGTGGATGGGTTGTATTTTAGTCCCACTGTTAATACTTTGGCATGTGGCTGTAGTTTACCAGGGTGATGGCAGGATGAATGTGTGCTCAAATAGATTAGGAATGGATGGATAGGTGGGCGAGTAACACCAGATGGACAGTGATGGTGAGTTAGAGAGGAGACCCATAATGAGATTTTAAAACGCTTTATATTTTTATAATCAAACAGGGTTTGTTTGTTTGTTAGATCAACATTTTCATTTCCTCCTTTCCCCATTTTAACAACACAACCATTAATTGTACAAACTGCAGAATGTGTGCGTGTGCATGATTCGCAAAGTTGTGTTCGTGCATGGCTGTGTGTTTTGTAAATGCATGTTCTGTACATGTTATTAATTTTTTTCGTCCGAGCTCCCCCCCCCCCCCTTTTCAGACTTTTCTTTTGAAAAACAGAACAAACACACGTAAACAAACTCATCAGCCACTCAAAGAAACAAACGTTTTTTAGCCAAAGCTGAGTGACGCTGCTTTGATTTGGTTACTGTAGAAAGCAATAGTACAAAAACATTCAGGCACTCATGATGTGTTGGAGTGGGTTAAACACACACAAACACACACACACAAATACGCACGAACATTTCATTCAAATTTTTACTGCAATAATTAATACATGATCATCATTTAGTGTTATAAGAACAGCTCTCCCTTTCTCCAAACATAAGAACTAGTCATGTTCCTGATAATGACTCGCTAACTAGTCCCCCGATCATGTATTACATTTAAAGAGATCGCAGTTGCAGCACATGATGCTAGTTTTTCAGGGAAGTGTCTTTTATATGCAGTAAAATGAAAATAACCCAGTAAAACCTCCACAGTCCCAGCTGGTCAGAGAAACCAACTCTGTCATCACACCCAGCTGAAGGAACCAGCAGACGTTTTGACTCCGCCCAGGTCTGCCTCGTTGCCACGACTCCCGTAGTGACCTCGTTAATGATTTTTCAGGTACCCAATCATAGCCAGCCAGCCTCGGAAGCACCTCCTCTTGAGGCGAAGCAATTGATTAACCCTCAACAACAACCGTTAGCTACCTTTCAGTGCAGCCTGGTCTGGACTGCCTGTTCCCTCCTAAAGTCATGACACTTTTTATATATTCGGTCTCTTTTTCACTACTAGCTCATACAGGTGTTTTGCATGCTTTAATCTGAGACTTTGATACAAAGCAATCTGAAATGTCAACCCATTGTGAATGCAGGAGAGGGATCAGCACATCACCGCAAGGTTTCAACACATTTGAGGGTTTTGGGCTAGCTTTTATTTTCTTAAGATTATCCCGACCTCGAGCCCCTTTGAGATGTACCGTAATGTGCAATACTTCCATTATGTTTCTCCCCTAATTTGCTGTGCCAAGTGTATGTAGCGTAGTCCTACTCCTCCAGTGTCCCCTCCCAGTCAAAGGCTTGTGTCTTTTTCTGTCTGTGAAAGTGTGTCTCACATCTTAAAAAACAGCAGTCAGGATGTTTGTGAAGAGAAACAGAACCAACAAAGAGTTTGTTTGCACCCTTTTTTTTCCTTCATGTCTGTGTGGCCTTCCTCAATTTTAGAGACCGTGTCATGTCTCTCATTGGTGTGTGTGTCTGTGTGTGTGTGTTCGTGTGTCTGCACTGTACGTCCTCTGTCTAAAATGTCCAAAAGTGTCTGCATGTGTGACGTGTGCGGGTGCGTGTGTGTGTGTACTGGAGTGTTTCCTCCTCTATTTGTCTGTGAGATCATGAACCCTGACCCTCTTACGGTTCACGGTGAGACCCACAGGAAAAAAAAAACCTCATTGCTAGTGGGGACCACTTTTTGTAAAAAAAAGAAAAAGGAAAAAAAAAGAAAAAAAAAAAAAACAACCAACAGAGATGCACATGTAAGTAGATGTAAAAGACTTGATAATGTTTCAGCACTTTCTAATCCTAGGACGGGCTCGGTCTAACCCCTCTGTCTCAGACCGAAACCTGCCCCAGGGGTAACATTCATTCAAAAACAGACAGAGAGAATGAGAATGAAAGAAAGGGGTGAATAGGGATGAAAAACAGAGATGGTTTAAGTTAAAGTTTTTGCACATCACCTTGCCGTAACCTTGTATTTTTTTTTTCTGTCTGTGCTCCATCTCGCTTGGCGCCCGGCGCGTTCTTGGGTCCAACGAGCCGAGGTGTTAGGTGGTTCCTTGGTTCTTTTCTACTAGGAAAACCTTTTTCTCATGGAATGCATCCCTTCTTTTGTTATGTTCGAGTTTGTTCGGAGCCTCTTCCACCCTTTACCAACCGGGCTGTGCGAGTAATTATTGGGTAATTTCTTGTTAGCTCCGATTTGACAGATGTGTCTACAAGGAGTTGGGCGCAGCTCGGTTTGGTCACGCGGTGTGAAAACGGCGCACAACAAACTAGCTTTTTTGCATTATCTTTGGTGCAGGAGCTTTTATGTGTTTTTGGTCTCCTTGTAGCACTCAATATAATGTCAGGGGACTTAAAACTATGTAGAGAATGTGTAATTGTTGAGTTTTTATGACAAGCTTCCTCACTTGAGGAACACTGCTAATGTCGTCTGTTTATTTTTTAATTGGCTTCTTGCACAATTCTAAAATTAAATGAATGTTGGTGTGTGAGCTTTGACTTTTGGATCAGATTTCAAAAAAAGGCATGTGTGCTCTTTGTTTCTTGATGTTTGTACTTTCATTTTTTTGCAAAAAAAAAAAAAAAAAAAAAAAGGATGTGTTTTGGCACTTTGTCGTGTTTTGAAAGTGAACAGAATTCGATCAGGATTCCTATTTCTGTTTTTTTTTTTTTTTTCATCCTTTATTTTTCTTTTTTGTATGATGTCGTCAATGTCCATAGCGCTGGATAACCAACTCAGGCAGAAAGAAAAAAAACTTGTAGAGGCCCATGTAACAGTTTAGTTTCACCCCAATCAATTTACATAGTGGGCTGTTTCATATGGGTTATAAGATATGTAAATTTATTACATATAATTTGATATAATTAACAAATGACTATTAACTATGAATTATTATTATGATACTATGTGTATTTTGCTGGAGACGGCTTGGATTACTCTTCAGTGTACTTTGTTCTGCCTCTGTGCAAAGCGACAAACACTTCAGCAGGGGACAGGCTGTACGTCTCATGACCTCTGACCCCTGCCCACTGCCACGGATGGGGTAGAGCTTATCTGACAGCAGTGGCTCATTTGACCCCCGCCCCTCCACTGAACCCCCTGTTCTGAACAGTCAGCCCTGAGGCTATAACCAGTCTGTCTGGATGTTTCTCTGCGACACCAAGAACTGAACTGAACTGAGACTTTTTTGGTGCTCGAGCAGAGAGGTGGACATCAGCACAGACCTGCACGGACAATCTGGCCTGTAGGAGGCAGCAGCAGCAGCAGCAGATCCCAGCCAACTTGTTTGTACTATAATGTACTCACCAAGTCCCCATGTCTCACCTCCCTTTTCCTCTATAGCAATGGAGAAAACCCTCTTGGTGTATGTATTTGACATCTGTACAAATGCACCTCTTTGAAAAAGAAAATGAAACCTTGACATATCTGAAAATAAATGTCTGACTTGTGTCATTTTTTAGGTCACAAACCATAGACTGTATATACTATGGACAACTTGGTTCCACCTCCCTCCTGTATACGGATCTGAAGCCAAATAGCTCTCGGTATTTCCGCGATTTTTCTTCGTTTCCTGAAACCAACATTGCGCAGTAGCCTTGTGCGCATTCGGCGGGAGAGTCACCAAGTCGCTGTGATGACACTCGGCTCAAACAGCGTATCCCCCCAGGGGAGCTACGCAATCCCTAAACGCCAATAGGCTGTATCAGGTGTCAATCATAGAAAACATGAACCCCCTAATAACTTTTAAAAATGGAGTTTCACAGAAAAAAGAGGACTTGAGCACAAACCAGTCTTACAATAACTACATGTCAACATCACAAGCAGGGGGGAGAAAAATTTATGTTCTGTGTAATAAATTTCTAAAGTTTGTCCACAGCCCCATAAGCTTTGCTGGTGACCTATACTGCAGCCCGTCACCAGAGGGTGCTGTTTTTGGAGTGGCTTCACCCAGCGAGGAGGCAGACTCTGTCCATTCTATATACAGTCTATGGCTGTGTCTGAAATGAATCACTCAATCCCTAATCCCTAACCCCCATATGGGGTTTTACTATATAGTTGACTATGTAGTGAACTCAATTACCCGAGGTTTCGGACACTACATGGCAAGACTTTGTTGGGAATTGATCACTGAGGTTTCGGAAACCCCACAAAATGGTACTAACCCCCATATAGTCACCTATATAGGGGTTAGGGATCCATTTCAGACACAGCCTATGTCACTAACTAACACAAACACTCCCTTACACTGTGTAGGATACCTCACTCAGCACTTAGTGGGAAATACCTCCCTCTGGTGGAAAATAGGCTGAATGACATCCCCAACAACTCGTATGGCTATGTTGGACAAAACAATAGAAACTTTTTTTAAACTCTGAGAAACTTTGTAAATCATGACATACTTTTGTAGCGTCCCGTTGTTTGAGCATCTTAGTGCAACAGTAAGCATGGCAATTTTTTTTACACCACTGTGCATCCATTTAAAAGTTTAATAAATACACCCGTTCCTATGTAGAGAGGTCAGCAGTGTTGAAACTCACTTTAAAGAACACATTATACCTTATCCTACATACAAGTTTATCTGGAAACCCAACACCCACAAAAGAGGGCAGTTTCTCACACAGAAATACGATTCTAACTGAAGGAATCACATTTTTAGTGCTGTTTCTCATCTTATGTTTCATTTTTGATATTGCTTGACACAAGTTTTATGTTAAAAGTACCAGAAAATGCAGCAGAAACCACAAATGTGTTGATGCCCTTGATCAAAAAACAGGCAAAGTGAAATCAATAACTCAAATGTGACCTCCACACACACACACAAATACATCAATCAGCTGTATGTCTTGGCTTGGTATAACATATCCACACAAGCACAATGGTGACTTTTCACAGACAACACCACCTCTGAGGAAAGTAGCAGGGGGTCCTGCATGCAGTTTATTGCAACATGATTTCTCCAGTGACAGTTACAGGACTACCTCTTTGGGTCTTGCAGAATGATTTGTACATTCATCGTAGCACAAATACCATCTCCTCCTGTCCTGCTGAGTGTGTTTATACGCATTGTGTCGGCAATATTTTTTTATTTGCATGTCTGTAGGCATGTAAACACACTCACCGCATGATCAAGTTAAAGCACAGTCACTCTTTGTGAAAATGTTTCACGTTGAACTTTCGATCACAACGTGCAGGAGATGAACAGCTCGCAGAACATACCCTGAGAGAGACAGGCTGGGTGCTCACATTAAAGGGTCTCCGTAAGTGTGGGTGTGCGTCTTTCCTCTTCCATGTCTTACTACTGCAAATCTAAAATCAGCATTATACAATGCGAGTCATGCAACTTGTGTGTAAAATGCGTACATCCTGCTAGGTGAACATATGGCTGGATTGTTGTGTGACTCTTATGAAAGTGGTTCTCCTGCTCAGTTCTTTGAGCTTGGCTGCGCCGACGTAGGTACAGGTGGAGCGGAGACCCCCCAACACATCACGGACGGTGTTCTCAACATCTCCTCTGTACGGGACCTCTACTGTCCTACCTTCAGATGCCCTGAAATTGAAGAGAGAAAAGTAAGTTTGTGTTTAAGTGTTCCCTCTACTTACTGACTGTTACCTGGTAGCCCATAATAAAGGAGATTAACGCTGTTTTAAACTTCTAAATTAGCATATCATTACTTGTATGATGCAGATCATGTCAAAATGCCTTTAATCTGACCAATAAATTCTTCAAACTTCAATCGTCCAATCCATCAGACAATCCCAAACAAGAGCCAATGGGATGAGAATAAGGTGTTTGCATCGGCAGAGAAGATTTGGCAGATTTTTCATGGAAATAAACTGATTTTTATTAGTCACCATGAACTCTGTAAAACTCAAAAAAAATGAGCTACCCTTGTTGACAGAATAAAGCTACCTGAACTTACAGCATTAGCTACCTCAGCCAAACAACTTCCTAGATGACAGAATTAGGTACCCCTGCTGACAGAATGAACTACCTCAGCTTACAGAGTTCCGAGAAGACAGGGTGAGCTTCACTAGCCAGCAGAGTTCTTACATGACAGAATGAGCTACCTCGGCCAACAGAGTGCCCAGATGACCGAATTAGGTAGCCCAGCTGTTAGAATAAGTCGTGTTCGCTGAAAGTCAGACGTAACCAGCCAACTGTTTGAGCAATGCAGCTATAAGAATAGTCTTCATCCATTTACAAGTCAACCTGCCCCAGCAAACAGTTTGATGTACCCAGGCTGACAAAATGTGTTATACTTGACAAATGAGTTACCTGTAACCAACATTGATAGGTCATAGGTAATTTTCCCAGTTATTCAGTTAGATTCTTAGCTGTTTGTGTAAAAATTCATTATTTGTCTTCGGATGCCTTTATGCTCATCTTAGTTTATTGTTATCTTATAAAGCTGTTTGTGTCAGTGACTGGTTCTTTGAAAACATAAGTACGAGCCGATTGTTACTTACCTATACTCGGCGACTCCACCCACATATTTCTTCATGGCTGTGTCAGAGCTCATGCCATAGAAGAGTTTGTATTTCTTTCCATTTTTCTCAATGATCTCTCCTGTGCACTGATCATGGCCTGCGAGCATTCCGCCCATCATCACAAAGTCAGCGCCAGCACCTGAGGAGGCACAGAAAGATTTTTGTAGTCATACATGATCCAATATGAGACCAATTTAATGGAAGAAAGGAGCAAAAATCGTTGGTTGATTACATACCGAAGGCCTTAGCTACATCTCCTGGGCAACTGCAGCCGCCATCCTGGACAGAGGAAAAACACACACGAAGTAACTGTAGACAGGTGCAAATATGACATGACCCCAAAAACATTCTAACAAAAGGTTTCTCAGCTGTTTTTTTTATTGTATTAGATGTCCTTGATAACAAACCAAAAGTTTACCAAAGTTTGACCACTAAAAAGGTGCCAAGATGGTGTCTATGATAGGTAGAAAGCCCAGGGGAGACACCCCAGGCAAATAGGGTAACCTTAACCTTAACCGAACCCTATCCCAACTTTACCCTAACGTAACCCTAACATTTAAAAATGTTGACTCTATTCCTATTTTTTTTTGTACCAATTGACTCCAAATGGTCTGAAATTTGAACCTTAACCCCACAACCCTAACCCTAACCCAAACCCCAATACCCCAATGTAACCCCAACACCTTAAAAATTTTTGACACTTTTCCTAATTTTTTTTGCACCAATTGACGCCCAATGGTCAGAAACGTGCTTCCTGAAAGGTCCTGGACAGTGATGTTAACCCTTAACCCTATAACCCTAACCCCAATACCCCAATGTCACCCCAACCTAACCCAACATAACCCTAAGACTTGAACAAGTGTTGACACTTTTCTGATTTTTTTTATTACCAATTGACTCCAAATGGTCAGAAATGTGTTCCTTAAAAGGTCCTGGGCAGTGATTAAATGTCAACACAGTTTAGGTGTTTTTTTAAACGCACCCGCCTACTTATCAGGCCCTACATCAAATTGAAAAAGTCAGAACATCAGTTTGTGATTGTTCCATCAAAATCCAAAGACTGAGGACGCCCTCTACTGTTTGCAACCTGGTATTATTATAAGTAATAAAGAAATTTGTCCTCCTGAAACAGCATAACATGGACTTAGACATGAACAAGATGGACAAAAAAAGAACAAAAATAAGTACTTTGAAAATAGGCCAATGTAATGAAAGCAAATTGAACATCTGAGCTCTCCTATTATATGTAAAACTATCTATGTCTAAAACATTTTTGCTAATGAGCCTTAGGTGTCTGTGATGTTTCAACGGTGGACTTACAGAGATAATATGTCCTTTGAGTCCATGAGCTGAGTCTGCACACTCTATTACAGCACTGAGCTGGGGGTAACCCACCCCTGTCTTGATTCTTGTTGTGCAGACAGACCCTGTAACACACAGATCACACAATAACCATCTTTTTTTAATTGATGTAATTTAGCTTTTTCTTTCTGTTTATTTTTTAAATTTTTATCTTAAATTATATTGAAGGCGACATATGAGTTGGACTTGCTCTTAATAGTGTGATGCATACAGTATACTAAGCACAGTAAATCCAAAGAGCCAAAGCTGCATACTTATGCTATCTGAGCAGCCTGTCTTTGTCTTTCTGGATCACGCGCATGTCTTTATGCATGTCACAATCTCGGTTGTGTTTGTGCTTGCATATGAAGCCTGTAAAGTTTCGCATTGACACTCGTTTGAGAACACTCAGACCTTCAACCCACCCACCTGGCCCTATCCCCACTTTGATGATGTCAGCCCCGGACAGGATGAGCTCCTCCACCATCTCCCCGGTTACCACATTACCAGCCTGGAACACAGACAGCATTAGCCCTATAGGACACATTCCTTTGCACATCATATAAAACTCAACTTTAACACATCTGTGTCTCTTACCATAATGGTGTGTTTAGGAAATTTCTCCCTGACTGTCTTAACAAACTCCACAAAGTACTCTGAGTAGCCATTGGCTACATCCAGACAGATGTACTTAAGGGCGGGTACAGCCTCCACTATGGCACACAGCCTCTCCAGATCTGCTTTCCCACTGCCTGAGCTGGCAGCTATATGCTGTGGAGAAAAAGACAAAATCGGGAGTAAGGTGTGTAGTTTTCTTAAAGTGGGGATGGCTACTTTGAAGAACAAACATTGGTGATATTACCTCTACGCAGTCTGGATGGTTAGCAGCAAAGTTCTTCCAGTCCTCCACAGAGTAGTGTTTATGAATGGCTGTGAAGAGGGTGTGCTAGACAAAAAGACAGAAGAAGCAATTAAAAGACATACTTTGATATCCTCTTCGAATAATTGATATTATTTTCTCTTACACATACATTTTTATTTTTTTTTTTATATACAAGACAGTGGGTGCAACAGAAGAAAAGAGGCAACATCCAAGATGCTAACAGCTGCTAGCTTCCACAACAAGGGGCCTAGTCACATTTCACCAAAGCTCCCTGCACCACCCTGGTCTTGGCAGGCCCACACTAAGAGAAATGCACAAACAATGGCTCTTATTTATATTCCTTCATATTATTAGTCCTGCTAACTCACTTTGCTGAGGACCTGTGCCATCTCAAACGTTCCTGTCGTGTCCATATTAGCAGCAATGATGGGGATGCCAGTGTATGTCTGTTTGGAGTTGCGGAATGTGAAGGTCCTCTGAAGGTCCACCTGAGGAGGAGAAGATGTGGGCAAAAGTTTCATCAACATCAGGTGTAGCTAACTATTTATTATGTCAAATTAGTCACTTTTCATGCAACACTTAGTAAAGGCAGCAGCGGATTTTCTGTTAGAAAGGAGCAGCTCATTTGTGGTCTTGGTAGGGGATCCACTGAATCATTTAGATCCAGTGGATAGTGCTGCTGTAATGTGATAAGCTATATGGACCAAACAGGGCTGTTGAAAGGTTAGCTTATTAGCATGAGTAGAGTGTGCACATGTTTTCAAATATTTATCTTTTTCCTACAAATATTTAAAGAATTGACTAGCTAGGTTGTAGTTGCTAGTGTTGGCTAACATTAGCAAACTTCAGTTGTTTTTTGCCAAGAGAAATCATACAAGACATTCTGACAGCTAGCTTGTACTGACATGTTGGCTAATGTTGGCTAACTTAAGCTATGTCTTCACTCCTTTCTTTTTGCACTTGTATTATATTCACTGTATCCACTTTTACCTTGTACGATTACATGTAAAATTATTTTAAGTTCGGTGTTTTACTTATTTCAAACTGAAACTTAAGAATATCGAAACCAAAAGTAACCCTTTGATTTAAAGTGCTTAAATTTCTTGAACCAAGCTCCACATTACTGAATGAGGTTTCTAGTCAAGATGTACATTATTTATAACAACCCCATCTGAGGAAATATTGCACAAACTGTAGCAAACACAAGTATAAGAAAAGTGATGTTATAAGTATAGATAATACAAGAGTAGTGTTCACTTGTGCAGATCTATCACCTCTCAAAACAGCCCTTATCTATGACTACAGCACATTGACTCAGCAGGATTTCCCAGACTTGTTACTCATAAAACATCATCAGTTTGACACACTGATTCAGGTCAGTGCGTAAAATCTGTTATTCGGGGGTTAGATCAGCAAAACATCTGGCTAAGCATATGATAATACAGTTTGTCTGTAGAATATGTGGTAACACTTTACAATAACCATAAGTTATAAATGGTAAATAGACCATTTATAAATGGTAAGCAGATAGTTTATTAATGTTTAATCATCATTTATAAATACCATATAGACCATTAATAAATTGTAGATTTTACATTTTTAAAATCCTAACCCTAACTTTACAATAACCATCTAAGTAATGTTTATATAGGTGGTTTATAAATAACTTATTAATCATTTACAAAGTATTACAAACATCAGTTGCAACTTTACAATAACCATCTAAGTGATGTTTATAGATGGTTTAAAAACCAAATATTAACCATTTACAAAGTGTTACTGACACACATTTTAATCTAGATGTTTCACAACCAATATTTAAACCCTATATAAACCTTTAATAAATAGTCCATTAATAATTAATGAAAATTATTAATCATAATTCTATTGCTTGTTAATGGTAAAGTAACTATTAACTTACATTAATTAACTATCTTTTTACCATTTATAAATTATAGTTATTGTAAAGTGTTCCCGCATGTCTTTTTTTTTTTTGCACACAAAATTCACATTTGATATGAAGGCATCCATGAAGGTATTCATTGGAGATTCGAGGAGCCATTTCTGCTCATTGTGCAGCATCAGTGTTTGATTACCAGCTTACTTAGCATGTGGTCCTTTAATATTGATGTGATTTACCTCGCAGTTTGTTCATAGACGTTGTTCTGTCAAGTAAACAACCTTAGGAATGTCTTGTCAGCTTATCTTTGACAGGAGGATTTCTGCACCTGCTAAGTGCTGACATTACTCAATACATGGATCAGTTCACATTGCAAGGGTCACGATATTTAAGCTGCAGTCTACTGACATCCTGCAGCGAAGTTATCACATCCTGGTACTTAAGTGTCGTCTGTGTAGTTTTATTACTTTAGAGAAAAGCGATGTCAAGTCTATGGATGGTGTGAAAGTCTGCTCTCTGCGTTGTCATCTGTGTCTGCGTATATATATATATCTCGTTATCATGATCAGTCTGTGGCATGTGCGAAGGTTGACTGTACCACACGGGTCTATTTTTAAACAGGTTTTCTGAGAAGTATCCCGTGTCTCATGTTGCATGTAAACTCTTAAAGGCCAACTCCCTCCCACTTCCACCTTCCAAATCAGAACTAGTACCACCAGTGTCTTGTCATACTTGATCAGCACCGGGCCCTGTTATTGTGAAACTTAATCAAGTCGAGTGAGAACAAGGAGGTGAACGTTGTGCTGTCTTTGTGAGCCAAATCAAAGAGTGCTCTGGATGAACAGTTTCCTCTTATACCTGATTAGAATTATAAGAGATGAGAAAACTACTCCATACTGATCAAAATCCTCATTGTTTTTTTTTTTTTTAACCCTTTACACTCTTATTTTGTTTTGTTTTTTTGGACAGTTGTTGTGCAGAGCCTGTGTCTGGTACAGGCTAGCTCTGTTTTCTGTCACCTTTAAGAAGGTCACTCTGCTGTTTCATGGTCATACAGAGTACCTTTGCTTTATACTACACCTTATTGTATTTAACTTAAGGATAGGCAGAAATGTAGATACTAGACTGGAAGTATAATCTTCAGCTTTTGAGCGGAATCCTTGTTAAGATTATGAGGTTAATAGTCTTGATGTCACATATAAAGTACACAGTGTTTGTAGGCCCAAACTGCCACCCTATAGTCTAAGCTCATGTAACATAGCTATTAACTGTTGCGTCACCCACCATACTGGTTTATATGCTAGTGCATTTCTCATATGAATGGCACATAAACCTGACTTCACTCCTTTAGAGGAGTCTCCCCCTCTGATGTTAGATTTGCTCTGTATTTTGAATATTTCATCTCATAATCAAATATTTAATGGTACCCACTTCTGAACGACTCTTCAGGCTGCTCCTTTTGGGTCTGAAGAGGACATCCTTAAAGTCCAGCTTGAGGTCTGCATCCACGCGAGGCATCTTGGCTGTCCAGAGCACTGATGACCAGGATGAGGATGATGAGTAAGCGGAGGAGAATCCCTTGAGGAAGGCCGCTGCAGCAGTGGCGGTCACCGGTCCCAAGCCCCAACCACCAAACCCGAGCCTCCAGGCGGCCAGCGTATTTATAGCAGAAGGGGGCCCAGCCCAGCCCCGGCCCCCATGGCTTTATTTGGGCCTGGACTCCCTCTCTCTCTCTCTCTCTCTCCCTCTCTCCGTCTGCTCTCTCTATCCCCCTGCCTCTCTTTCTCCCTCCACTCCTCCAGCGTTCTTTCTCCCTGCTCCTCCAGAGTGGCAGGAGCAGCAGTGGCCAAGCTGGCAGACGCACATGATGCATACACACACACACACATTTACACACACAGGCATGGTTGCACTGCGGAGGGTTGTGTGCTGCAGTGCTTAAGAGCACACCTGCTGTCCAGTTGGGGCATTACTCCCTCGGCTACCGGCAGAGAGTACAGAGAAGCAGACAGACAGTGATGTGCTCTTTCATGTTGTACGTTGATCTTAATGTTTACAGAGATGAAGAGAAATCTGATTATATCTGCACACATGATCATGACAGTTTCAGAACATCTGGGTGCAGCTTTGCCTCAGCCTTTTCTTTTTTTCACAGCTTAGGTGTTCAAGAATATTCAGACACAAGGTTTGAATTGCCACACTTTATTTATTTTTTTTTATCTAAGTGTTCTAGTTAGCATATTCTGCTTTCTCAAAATCAGGGCTAAGTTTCTAAAAGCAGGACAGGATGTTTTCATGGGCAACACATCACCAAGATACTTGAGCACATGTGAACGTACTTAATGACAGTAAACAACTATTTTATTTTTTGTTTTGTTTCATTGCTGTAAAAAAGTTGTTATTCTCTGGACAAGTGTTTTACGTTGTCATTTCAAAAAAATCAACTATACAAACACGCTCTGCAAGGTGTTTAAAACTGGACTATTTTAATCTATAAACTCAGAACTTGCCTATAGCATGTGGACTGTGTTAAGGACTCCTAAAGTTATATTTAGGGGCATTTTGATTTTATTTATAAGGTAGTGAGGAGTCATGGCTGGGAATTGAAAGAACGACAATCAACCCTGCTTTCATATAGAAATTAAATATTGTGTCTTAAAATTTAAACACTGAGATTAGACTTTTTAGTGGAGTAGCACTCGTCTTTTTGGCAGCAGTTCAATGTTTATTAGGTATTCGTTTGAATAATAAATACATTAAAAACAGAACTGAAAAATACTGCCATGGACATAAATATAAGACACCACTAGATGGCAGCATGCTTCAAAAAACAGCTGCTGAATGAAAAGCACCAGGGTCAGGACTCCAGTTAAGTGTTTCCTGGCAACAAGGGTGTCTTTATAATGTGCTGTATCAATTTGTCACTGCCTCTTCACCACAGATAAATTATTTATAGACGAGGTTCTTTGTTTCAGCAAGAATGTAAGAAAACTCTTTTCTTGAAAGAATCAAAAATATTAAAGTTTGCATTTTGCACAAACATGCATACCCTCATTTTTTTCCTGGCAAGAGAGACAAAGAAGTGTGAGAGTGGAGTTTCTTCGTGACACTTTTTAAAGTTAAAATCTGCACTATGATTTAATGTAATTGTCTAAAGTTAAACTGCATTGATTTGATTGAACTAAAAATGTTCAAGACATACTCTAACAGTACTACTCTATATGTGTAAATGATTATCGAAAAAGGATTTACACCTGATGGACATATCGAACTTCACATCTCATTATTACATAACAAATTGGATCAGACTCACTGTGGTGATGTAAAGCAGCTGCAGCAGCTGTAAACCCACTGTTCTTTAACCTCTTGTTCACGTCACACTGAACTGTATTGATAAGAGGGTTCGGTGTAAGGTCAGTCTTTTAGGGCAGTTCATCAGATAAGAAAAGAACAGCTTGGCTTAAACTTTGTGCGCTCAGTGTTTCATGTTCCAGCTTGTCCAAGACGCAGATGGAGTCTGACTTCTACATCTGAGCGACAGGCTTGAGGTTTATGGAGTAGGTCAAAGTGCAAATGGTAGCCATCGACGTTCATGGAGGTATAATTACTTATGTAGTAAAAGTCACTTCTTTTCTACAAGCATTTTTCAAGTCTTTTTAAAACACATGGATGTTAATTGTCAGCTTACAACATGCCTCAGGCTTCCCGATAGCTTTGGGGATGTTCATCACTTTGTACTCTGATTTAATCTAGTTAGATAACTCTCTCAGATCACTGAATGGATTGTCATAAATCATTTCAATTCAATGAAACCAAACGGATGAATGTGAATTAACACCTCCAGCTTTATCTGTAGTATAATAATCAGTTTCACAATCCTAATCATGTTCAGTTTTATTGTTTACATGTTAAAACAATCACCAATCAAATTTTGACAAAGGCATGAATATTAATTCATTCATTTGCTCACTTGCCTGCTTTTATTTTCCACAGGTCTGCATGTTTGGACATAAGAAATACCAAAATATAGGTAGCACTACAAGAATATATACTGACAGGTAGGGGAGACTGGGTCTTGTTGTCACACTTTTTACACTCTTATATATTTCTTTAAATCAATACATCATATACAAACAAAATGTGTACCAGATGAAAGACCAAAGTCTTTAGTATATATTTTGTATTCATGTCATTTTCATATCTTGTGTCAGTGCAGAGAGAGTGTGAACATGTGACATGCTGCCCCACCATCGGGTAAGTTGTCTCACTATATGGGGTAAGATGTCACAGTGGATTTTGCAGCTAATAAAACAAGGAGAAAGTTATAATTATTATTCTCATTTTTTTTACATGAAAGTGAACATCAAAGTCAGGCACAGAAAATGTTTATCATTGAACTAGAAAAAGTCTTTGAACATAGTAATTGATGTTTTGCAGTACTGAGCCAAGGCATGGTAGTTGACATTAAAGTCCTTTATTGTCCTCCACTGCCTTGCTTTGTGTTTCTTTTGAAATTCCTGACCATGTCTTCTCGCTTTCTCCTCTCCTTTTTACTTTGCGTTGTGCAAAATGGTTGCTTGGCGCTCATCTCAGCTCACAATGCGCTCTTCTCTTCTCTTCTCAGACAGGACACGACTTCTGACCATATAAAGGAATAAAACTAGTATTCCACTTTTTAGTCGGCCATCTGGTGGCAAAGATAATTGCAATATGACAACTTACCCATGTGACAACAACCCCCGGTCTCCCCTACTACTCTTAACTGCTGCATGAAATCCATGAAATGCTGCACAGACTTTTCCAGGAACATGGCGTTGTCGATGTGTTAATGACAACACTGACATTCTCTGCGTGGAGAACATTGTGTAGCTGCAGTGGCATGCTGTTTACAGCGGTCTAAACATCTGAGCGCACACGTGGGCATGTAAGCAACACGCAAACATACAGGCTCGACTCCTCTCTCTGTAAGCGGGTACCAGTTGATGATTCTCCTATCTAAATGTTGGCCATATGTTCTTGCAGCAGACGTACATCTCCCACCCATTCAGCAGAGATGCGTTTCCGTCAGCAGTGTGTCAGTGGGCCGTGCAGGTGTGGAAACCACATGGCGGTGGGTGGGTAAAGTCGTTGAGAATCTTTGATGTTCGTTTCCTGGCATGAGTTGAAATGATGAGAACTTAAAAATTCTTTTTGTTTTATGTCTCGGCTGGCTCAGGTGGTGAATGATAAAAATGAATCTTTTCCATCAGGGAGTGTGTTTCTGTTCAGCGTTTTGAGGTTTAGAGGGATGATCAAGATTTGGAATCAAGGATACAGAAATTGAACATTTCCTTTCACTCAGCTGGCTCCGGCTTCTGCATTCATTTAAAGATGCAGATTGACAATAACAAGCTCACACTCTAAAGAAGTGGGTCGAAGGTCATTCTGAGTTTACAAGACTGCATATGAAGTGTTCAGAGACCAATCGACAGAGCTTTTTTCCCTACATGCTCGTATAATCTCCTCTGTGCCTCATGATTATCATATTGTCTTGACAATTAACTTGATTATTGTGTAACTAATCCCTTCATGCTTAAACTAAGAATAAATTATGCCCCATGCTCGGAGGTTTCATGCAGTCACTCTGGTGAAGACTTTGCATACTGATATGTCTGCACTCGTAACAGTAAAAGTGAAATTTAGGGCATATACTGAGCCCCAAATTGAACTTTCAATCTTATTAATACGGTTCTGGCAACAAGTTCATCCTCCTCATCATGAAGTCATTTCTGTTGTAGGCGCTTTCATAAGAAGAGCACAGGAAGTGTCAGAGATTCTCGGCATGAGAAGTGAATTAGCGGTGATTACAGCAGCAGTGAAGGCCTGTGAAAAACATCAGCCTGTATGGATGCGTTTACAAGAAATACTCTGTAGGGGAGAGTGGGGTAAGATGAGCAGTTTTTCATATTTCAGATCACTACATCAAGTCAATCATAGTTTTGTCTCTAACTAGTGTATCTGCATATATTTCAAGATGTTGTGCATCCCTGCAAACCAACAGAATGAGTGTAAACATAGCTGTCTTGATAATATAGCATGACAAAAAAAGTGGTCTCCTATGGTCAACTTACCCCGTGTATGGGGTAACTAAACTCTCCACCCCAGCCCTCCCTCACCTTCTCTCTCCCTAAATAACAGTCACTTCTTCACATTCATGTGTATTTTTATCTATTATATGATATTCAACTGGTACAATAATTCTTTTTAATATTATTACATATAACTGCTAAAAAGCTGTTTTGTAAAAAAAAACATTTTGACATGAGAATATCTTTAAGTGATTTAGAACATAAATACATTTCATAACACATAACGAAACACATTTCAGCAATCTGAACTGAAACTCTGATCCTCTCATCAGACTCTTTTACTTTCTCAGTTACCCCAGAACTACTGTTATGACTTTATTAGTCCTCTAAGCTAAAATGGTGGACTTTAATGCTAGATTTTTGACCTCATGTTGTAGCTCATAGATACCACAATTGATGTACGAAACAAATCTAAAATGATCTTTTTTGGTCTGAATGTTTTTTTTGTAATTAAATATCTAACCCCTTCACCCATGTGCTTCTAACCTTCACAAATTCCATGAATTGATGTCCATCTCCTAAATATTTGGTCACATGATCAATTTCTTTTATCATTTCCAAGCAACAGGGGGTGGCTCAACTTACCCCACTCTCCCCTACAGGCCAATACACAACTACAAGGAGTTCAAAAGGTTCAATCTGCTATGACAATAAGAATGCACTGACATTATTTAAAGTTGTTTTAAAAAGGTTACTACAGGTGATAAACTAAAGGAAAAAGGCCTTAGGTGTCTGTTTTATCTTTACATTTTTCCTTCTAGTCACAAATCAAATATTATATAAGACCTGTTCCTGTGTCTTCAGAGTCTGAGGTATAAATTCTGGATCCTCTATCATTTATGTTCGCCTATATAAAAATACCAGTAGTGTGTTTTTTTTAAAACTCTTAGCCGCACAGCTTTTCACCCGAGCGTGACACATGCTACTGCTGTTAAAATGGGTCACAAACCATCCCTCAAAGGTTTTATTGACTTCTGTCCTGAGCTGCATCCACACTCAAAGGGAGAAAAATGAAAAACAAAGCCATTAAACCCGATACAGTAGAAGAAAAATAGGTCGTGAACATCTTTTGGCAGCTCATTAAAGGATATGTCTGAATTTACTGTGCGCTGTCTGGTTTTAAAAGGTGATTTACATATGTTTTTTTAAAAAAATAACTAAACATCTCCTGAAATTGTTTCGGCTAATCATTAGAGGGGCTGCAAATGTCCCTGACGCTGAAAGCATTTCAATGAAACACTACTCCAGCGAGGCATAAATATGCAACAGATTAGGCAAATCCAAAATCCACTGTCTTGTTTGAAACCACTAAGCCTTTTTGGGCCTGTCTATTATTTTCTCTGACATGTCACCTCCCACTGCAAAAATCCATATTTTGTTGGAAATTTCTCAACAAGAGATTAATACAGTCGTGTGAGTGTGTGTTGGCAGAACTGTTTGGGATTATTGTGACAGTAGAGAAGACTCTCAGGTTTTCACAGAGCTTAATGTCTCTACACTCTTTACCGACTGTTTTCCTTTTTTAAACAAAAAGTAACCAGATTAGATTTTATCCATAATTATCCTGGCATGTTTATGATTTTTTTTCCTTGTTTGAACTCGTTTGAACTTTCTGTAATATACAAAATTAATTTAGCGTGAGAGACACAGGAAGACGTTTCAGGTCAGATTTGATCTGTTGACAGTCCTGATGACGCAGACAGGCTCCCCCTTTTATAAACCGTTTCACTCATAATAGCCCCTCAATGTCATAACAGGAACATGTTTAATGATTCTCACTTTTGGTCTCTGGTGTGTTATTATTGGCCCATCGCCTGCGTTATATTTCCTTTACGTGAATCCAAGCAGGCAGAGGTTTCCACTGCCTGTCACTGCTGTTAAATTAACTCACACTCACATGCTGAGAGTGTCTGACACTTTAGCTGCTGAAACATCTGCCGCAGCTTTGACTTTAAAATGACTTAGATGTTTACTCCACATACCTGAGCCTTTAAAAGTTAAAAACTACCCCTAGTTGTTTGGAGGGAAACTCATAAAACAGGCAGAAACTTGGCCCTCGCTGGTGAAGCTCTGCTCGGTTAAGTCCACAAAGAACTTTATCACCATTTTCTAAGACAAAATCCATCCACTGTGCTTGTTTACGTCTGAGTAATGATGCATTATTGCATAGAGTATAGAGTCTAATTCAACATTTGTTTTCATAGCCATGGTAATTTATGTTTATGAGCCACAAGGAGGACAAACTCATGCAATAAATCCTCAGTAAGTCACACTGTGTCTCTACTTTGTTATCAACAAAGAACACTGTCATAAAGAAGCAGCTTGGCCCACTTACAAACAAATAAAAAGGACATGGTTTGCTAAAGTTTAACTTGTCAACCAGGTAGTGTTTTGTCTGATGTTACTTATTGTGTCTCTGTTTTGCAACCTGACCTGACACTTCAGTTCTGCGTGACGGGCTGACGAGAAGTCACAGCAGTCTGCTCCCTCCCTGCAGCTGTCGGCGTCCTTGAGGTTGTTTGATGGCAGCACTTTCTGAGAGCAAATAAGAAATACAGATAAGAGGAGGAAAAAAAGGGAAAGCATCTTCATTTAGAGCGTCCAAAGTCAAAATAAGCGAAAGTTTCTGGGTTTATTTGCAGATTTAAAATCACGGTCCAGTGGAGTTTCTTATTTTTTATTAACATACAACACTTTTCCATGTGTAAGAAGTTCCTAAGAAATTTCCTGAAATTACTCAGGTAAACTGTGTACGTTAACAGAATCATTCCAGTATCTCATCAGCCTCCTGACCCCCCACCCTTAATCGTACCAGGGAGACTTTAGGTGAATTTCCAAGTGAGAGCACTTTATATTTTCCTGTAATTTTCCCAAATGCACGTCTGAAAAGGGCGAGACGAGCACAAAATTCCGGAAATTGTACGTGTGAACAGAAACAGCCAAGTATTTCACCCTGATGTCACCAGAAATACTTCCTGCCAACCTCCTGGTATTGTTTCAGAGTAAAATCCAGATGAGCTCATGAAAAATAATCATGCTGTGAGGATGTAAGTGTGAACTGTACAGTTAAGTAAATTTCCATCTCAGAACTCCTGAAACTTCTTGTAGTGTATGTCTGATTAAGGCTATTGAGACGCTCTTTGACCCACTGCGATCCCCTCCTGCCTCTGACAGTGATGAATGGCGTCACAACCTTTAAACAAACAATACACTAGGGTTGCTAGAGAAGTGAAAACTCGTGACAGGTATTTTTCATTTAGCAGGTCAAAGATAAAACTCCTCTTGACCTTCTTCTCTCCATGTCTCATCTAAAACCTTAATGACTTAAGTGTTTCAAGACGGCAGGTTTACAGATGGATTTTAATACGTTTGCTGATCAAAAACAGGAATGGATCTCAGAGATACTGTAGCAAGACTCGATTTTAAGAGAGTTTGAGATTTGGCTGTCTGTTGGAATATCTGTTATGAATATAAAAGGCCTTCAGGGAGATGACTTGTCAGCTGAGCAAACATTTTTGCGTGGTCATCTTTTTTTATTTCCACTTTGACCCGGAAAGGTCATGGGCCCCGGAGACATGACCTGCAAGCATTTCCAAAGAGCTCTTTCTTTCTCTGAAATGTCCTATTTTAGGGTTTATTTGAATTCATCAGAAGTCGAAGTGTTTGTCACGCAAAAGGCAAAAGATGGAAGGAAGGAAACTGGTGTTGCAGGCATTGGTTTATGCATTTTAGTGTGACATTTTACTTCTTCTAAAAGACTGTCAGTTATAAGTGCTTTAAGATTAGATTAGATACAACTTTATCGATCCTTTTGGGAAGGCTCAGTCAGAAAATTAAAAAGGCAACACACTGAAAAATATACCACAAGTCCAAAAGCTTTTGTTTTTAAAAAACAACTTTATTAATACTTTCTCTTTTGTTAAAAACAGAATATATAAAAGGTTTCATTCTAAGAGTTATCTTACAGAGCATAGTGGCTTTTGCTTCAGAAAACAGAAACAAATCCCTACTTGTACAATGTGAAAAATAAAAGTCCTTCCCCTGCAGTGACCAAGCTTAAATCAAGTCAGCATTAAAGAAAAATTCAGTTTTCCTTTTTTTACAAACAGAAAACAGTCTGTGGAAAGTTTATCATAAACGTGGTGTTGCTGCTACATTAAGGCCAAACTCCCTACAGACGAGGAAAACTTCCTTGGTAAAGTGACGATATTGTTTTTTTTCTCTTTTTAAATATAATCTTTGAAATTAAATAAAACTTGTAAATGAAAAGCTTTTCAAAAGCAAGAAATTATTGCACGGACAGATCTCCTAGTACCCTTAAAAAAAAAAAAAAAATCAAAAAAAGAGCTCACTAGTTCACCCCAGAGAGGAAAAAACAGAAGTGAGGTTTTTAGAGGAAGCAGCTGCAGGACTAAATTCTTGCGTTGTGATTCTGAGGTTCTTAATTTGGAGCTTTCAGCTGGCATGGAGAGAAAGGACTAAAGGTGCAGCAGTTATGAAATTAGGCTTGTTGTTTTTGGACGTGTAAAGGAGGGTGTGGGAGTGTCTGCAAAATACTGCATTTCACATCCACAGTCACAGCTCTGTTGGACTGAAAGACCATTTAAGAAGAACCCAGTTTCACTCACGGGTAACCTGACAGGACATTTCTGGTTAGTCCATATAGTACGCACTGCTGCTGCTGCTTAACCTCTAAAAACCCCCTTTAAATTGGCTGGAAAACATGGAACATGAAAAACAAATAAGAAAATTAAATATTTTTAAAAAAGCATTTCACTCTGATAGCATTAAATCCTGTGCTCAAATCAAAACAGAGATGCTTTAAAACATCTGAAATAATGATAATAAAAAAAAGAAAGAAAATGACTCAACCATTATGTACAGTGTTAAGATGTTCAAACACACACAAGTCCGTTAAATGGTTCGGGTACTCTGGCTAGGAGGCCTGTAATGGAGCAAAAAAAACTAAACTAAAAAAAAAAATACAGAATGTTTCTTTCAACGAGATCAGGTCAACTGATGCAATAATTTAAAGGACAAAATGAGCCTAATCTAAAAACATTGTTTTGGCAGGGGCTGATGAGTGACACACAACCAGTGGCAACAATACTTAAAAGACACACAAATACACACACGCGTACACAAACAGACATACACACAGTAGTTTTGAGGGAGTGGTTTGAGTGTGTCCATCTTTGATTTCGCTCAGTCTGTTTATATTTGGTAGTTCAGATGGACGAGAAATGTTCCTTCTTTGTGAATCCTCGACTCAGGCTGGTGCGGCGCGAAAAAACAGTTCAGAGTGGAGTTTTGGTGGAGTCGGTTTTTATGTGTGGTAGATCTTGTGTTCGTACTCCGTGGCCGAGCAGCTGTGAGGGGACGCCGTTTCTCTGTGGATGGGTGCGGGGACGCTGCTGCGGTGCTGGTGGTTGTCGGTCAGCGTCAGGTTCAGGAGGCTGGTGCAGGTGGGCAGGTAGATGTGCTGCACGTGCTCCACTTCTGACCGACACACGGGACACAACTGCAGGTAAGAGAAGAAGAGGGGTGTTAGCAACGAATCTGTTTGGCTGAATAGAAGAAGGTTGGATAGTTTAGACAACATGACTGAACGTTAAAAACAACCTTAAATCACAGAAAAGTGAACCGATTCATAAAAATAAGAAAAACTGTTTTCATAATCATACTAAAAGCTGTGAAACTCGCCTCTTTTTCTCTCATCTGACTCATTTGCACTCCTGTTAGCTGGGTCGCGTTTCTTAGTCAAGCTAATGGAAGTGAGACTCGGCTGCCTGCTATAATCCTTCATAAGACAAACTCACGCACACACCATCTGCTTCCACGCAGACGGGCAACAGTTAGCTGATTAAGACTGGGGACAATCGGGTCAGCAGAGTGTAAGCAAAGCTTTGAACGTTGTTTAAGGACCATAAAGGGGATCAGAAGTTGAAACTAAAGAGTAATTAAAAGAGCTTTCAGGAGGGCTGGAGGTGCGGAGCGGGCTGAGGGGCCTTGAGCCACAAAACAAACGCGACAAAGTAAAGTGTCTTTGGTTTTAAAGCCCCATCTTTCTCGTCAAAGACACTTTTATGTATTTCTTTTAAGGTCGTTTGACAGCTGCATTTGCATAACTGAAATGCTCGTGCCAGGAGTACGCTCATTTCTAAGTCTCCCGATGCGGCTTAAAAACAACCTCAGGAGTCTGTCCAAGAAGAAAAGCCTCACCTGGAGCTGATTTGCGCAGGTTTGGCAGCACACCATATGCCCACAGGGGCAGAACGCGGCGTCTATCTCCTCCTCGCAGCACAGCATGCACAGCAGAGCTTCTCGGAGCTTCTGCAGACGCTCCTGCAGGGCACGGCTCTGCTGGCAGCTGCCGCAGTCCAGCCCCTCGTCCTGCTGGCTGTCTCTGCTGGGGGAGCGGGAGGGAGAGGAGCGGTCGGTGCTGCCGGAACGGGACATCAGGTCCACCACGCCCGAGTTGTAGAGGGCGCGTCGGGCATGGTCGTACACTTCCTTGGACGTGCGCCTGATATCGAAGACGTACTTCTTTCCCAGGTTGATGTTCTCGTTGAGGAAAAGGGAGGCGAGGTGGCCTTTGAAGTCTCTGCTGTACTGCATCATTACGGCGTTCGTTACTGTGTCACACCTAGAGAGGAAAACAAGAGAGTCGGTTTGGTTTAAACAAGAACAGATCCTTCATTGTAGCCTAAAGCGAGTGTCCAAGAACGAAGACAGGCCTCACATAAAACAAATCTGCAGACTGAACTGAAACAAAAGGACACAGTCTGTCCTGTTGCATTTGTACTATTTTGACTAACCCACGGCTACTTTTGAAGCTCAGCTGTTTGAACTGTCATGCACACGTTGGCTGCAGTAGCTGTTAAAATGGTTCAGATCCCACTCATTTAGGTCAAGGACTTAGCTTTATGTGTCCTACTTTGCATACATTTCTACCATAAAGAGTTTAACAAACAGGTTATGAAAAAAAAAGCACCCTTGGTCAGTGTGTACAAACGTGTGAGATTGCAGTAAGCATTTACATGCCAAGTAGAGCAGAACGAGTGTTTACTCAGCACTTTTTCTAGGTCAGATCTTTCCCTTCGCCCCTCATGAAGATGACTGCTATCTAACACTGAGTGTTAACTATCAGTTTGTTATAAAACATGTGACAGTTACAGTTACAGACTCCTCTAAAGCAGGTCAGTTTGGCTAAAAGCTGCAGCTGTAGCACCGGCTCGTGAAAACACCGACGTCTTTGGGGCTGCTGCGCTTAAAATTAATTGTATCTTTGATTCCCACGTGAGCTGAGCCGCAGTGCCCGGCCAACAGTGCTCACTTCTCTTATTATTCAAGGCAGTACTGACAGTTAAAAACAATGTGCGCTAATTATCCTTTGTATTAAAACCCAGCTGTGCAGCCTCAGGGTGTACGGATGAGTTGAGATTCTGTGTCTGTTTGTTTCTCACCTGTAGAAGGCGTGGGTCTCTGTGATGGCCCGGTACAGTCCGCTGGCTGCCCGGTTACTGATCAGCTTGAACAAAAGCACCACGCTGTCACTCGTGTCCTTGGTGACTGTCAGGTACACGCTTTTCCCAGACTGCGTGGCGATCTGGATGACGGGATAACTCACTCTAAAGAAAAAGCGAAAGATAGAAAAGAAGTGTCAAATAAAAGGCTGACAGGCACTCCAGGAATGGAAAGAGCTGTTTGGTTTGTCGGCGTCCGAGTCCTGCATACCTGTTAACTAAGCTAAAGTCCTCTTTGCAAACGGCAATCCCCTCAGGGCCCACTCCGATAGCCAACCGCTGTCCATTTGCGTCTCTGACCCAGTGCCACTCCACACCGTAATGCTCCAGAGAGGAGACCAGCTGCAGGGCCTGGTACTCCACTGAGCCCTGAGTCGAGCCCTCGAGAGCCTTGTGTCTGGATATGATGCTGCAGGAGGGAGAAAAGAAGGAAAAAATAAGAAAAACATCGTCTGACATCAAAATCATTATTTAGACAGTCTGACATCCAGGAGAATTACGTAAGAGGAATAGATGCATTCTGGCTGTCAAAGGTGATTTGCACCCTGGAGCAGAGAGCTCTCCTGTCAAACCGGTTCCTCTCTGACAGCTAGACTTTAAGGATCAATGCTGTTTGTGAACCCACTACAGTGTCCATAGTTTATCATTGGCACCCAGTTCTCTTATATGTTCTGGTTGATGTTTGTTGTTGATGTTATTTATAGTGAAATAAAATCAGGGTTAGCTGTCTGCAGAAGCTGCGGTTGTCACGTCTAAAGAAGAGGAATTTATTGCTGTTTTTTTTGGACATTGGCCTCTATGGTGTGGCTTTAAGTAACCACAAACACTGACATGCAAATGCAGGTCATTCAATAGCCTCAAGGTTCCCATCATCATTATATGCGCCCCCGCTTTAAAACATTTGGTGTGATGAAAACAAAAAGCGGGACAGTCCAAAGGTGGGATTTAATTTTGAACACGCTGGCAGCACGTTGACCTTTTATTATTATAACATCATGATTCAGCCTCTGCTTTTGCAAACGCAGAGATTATCTTATGAAATGTATAAGAAGATAACTGTTGAGAAATGCATGCTGTTACAAATACTAGCTGGATAGTAACAGTTTTGTACAGCAGGTTTGATAGGCGGGGCTTGATAATGTATGATCTCAATATTTAAAATGCACAACAAATGTTCTAGCAGCACTTCAGAGTCTATTTATTGCACAGTGGTTACTATCGGAAAGTACCCCCAGCAGCAGCTGGTTGTTTTTTTTAGCACGTTTCTACAGAATCCAGGTTCACCAACCCGAAAAATCTTGCGACAGTGAAACTTTGTCACCGTCGTGTTATTTGCTGAGAAAACATTGAAGATGTGCCATGAGAGGTTCTTTGTCAACGCAAACACCTGCTACGTGAGCTCCCGTCAGCTGCCCTATTTGGCTTGAGAGCGCGTTTGTGTGTGGGTTTGTGAGTTTAAGCCGTCAAAACGTGTGCAATGAACTTTTATCTGGGGGTCTTTCACCTCAAACAAATGAAGCGGATCTGGAGGAGAAAGCCAGACAGGGCGTGTTATCGAAAAGGAAAGAACAATCAGGTCTTGTTTGTGCAGCATATCAGTGCTTTTTGAAGTGTTTTCTGATTCATTAAGTGTTACATAACTGTTTTTTTTTTATGTACACTGTCTTGGACATTAATCTATTCTTGTCTCACTGCCATGACCTATTATTTACTTTTTATCGTGTCTCTGTGGACTCCTACCTCCCCTCAGGGGTAGTTAGGGGGCAAAGCCTCAGGAGATCTGCCTCCCACGCATATCGGTCAATAATGGACCAGATGTTGTCAAGTTATGTTCACTGTCCTGGGGTTTACGTTTCATACCTGTTGATGGTGGCTGTGTTGGGCTCCTCTCCACACATCTCCGAGTACCAGTACTGTGCTGTGTTTTGGTTGTAGTCGCCAAACTCGGCCTGTGCCAGCAGCGAGCTCAGTTCTTCTGCTTGCTCCGAGCCCATGCGGAGGTGACCGTTGTGGAGGTCCTCCTTGACGTGCATGAAGAAGACATGTCTGTTGGATAGGAGAAGAGGAGAGCGGTCAATGTGATGTAGTCAGCAGGGAATTTTGATCAATACAAAGAGACAAACTATGGTGCAAATTTTATTAGGAGGTGGGAATCGCCTGCGACCCCACAATTCGATAGTATCGCGATACTTGGGCCACGATACAGTATTATCGCGATACTTGGGCCACGATACGATATTATCGCGATACTTGGGCCATGATATTATCGTGATACTTGGGCCACGATACGATATTATTGTGATACTTGGGCCACAATACAATATTATCGTGATACTTGGGCCAAGATACGATACTATTGTGATACTTGAGCCATGATATATTACGATTTAACGTTTTGCAATACAGTGAATATTGCGATACGATATATTGCGATTCATACAATTTTTTTCAACTGATTAGCTGATTTAGCATTTGTCTTTCCTTTATGTCAGTCTTATTTACACTGTATTTTATCTTCATGTAGCACATCTTGCAAACCTTATATATTTGTTGCACCGACTTTCTCCTGCTCTCTGCCATCCTCACTGGACAAACAGTTGATTTTATTTTTCCATTAATACATTGACTTTAGATTAACAATGAATAAAAACCAATACTAGGTAAATGAGACGATACAATATATCACCAAGCAAAATATCGAAATACTATGCTGTATGGATTTTATATTGAGGAGAAATCACTGTGGAGTCTGGATGTCTAGAGAGCACACCGGCCCGAGCAGGTGGACATTACAGGGGTAGGGTTTCACCACAGACAGCTGGTGTGTGTGCGCGATCAAGAGCGGGAAACGCAACGACGGCATTTGTTCAGTCACAGTGACTCACTTTCTCTTTTTTAACCTCTTCCTCAGAACACAATAGCTGAGCTTCCTCATTGAAACGGTTCAGATGAAGGTTTCAAAAGGGGAACTCAGAGAAGTTCAGAGGAGGTTTCCTAGTCAGAGTACTTGGACTGTTGACCTGCTGACTCAGACGGGAATCACAGAGGTCTGTGTGCTGGCAACTTCAGCGTTGAATTCAAGGCAAATACAATGTAATGATGTAAAATGGGTCGCAATGACCGACATCCTGTTTGCGTCTCTCTTACTGAGGCTCATTGTCGAAACTGTGGTTTGATAAACTCACAGCCATGCAGCACGCCCTTTTCAAATAAAACCCAGTTTCTACAAACCCTTTTGCCTGAGATAAAGTTGAATTTGCTATTCATGCAGTGAAAGTCAGGAAAGCTGTTCAAGAGATTTAACTGACCCATAAACAATTATTGTTTGGGCGAAATGATGAAACGAGCACACCATGTACAGCTCAATCCCTAAAACTGAAACTGTTGAAGTCACTTTCCATTGTTATGGCCGGAAGATATGAGGAGTTCTTTCCTTGGTGGAGCAGGAAATGAGACTTATAAGAACTAGCACCCAGGCTGACTCAATCCAGACAACAGCAAGAGCTCTGAACTCAAGTAACCTCAGAAGATCCCTCCTTGAGACAACCTCTGACACAGTAACCTTAAGAAGATTGGCCAGGCACCAGCACAACCGTCACCTGCTTCTGTTCAGAAACCAGCTGGACTGCTTCTTTAGTGTTGACTAAGCTGAATCCTGTAAGTGTGCTCTGTTTACCTCTTTTTACACTCTCCTGGGCTTGAAAAACACATTCCCATCTTGTGACAGAGAGACTTCAGCAGTTAAACTGATAAAAAAGCTTGATATTTTTGATGTGGTAGACTCAAAACAAACTGCCTCAGTTTGTTTGTTATTCAAAAATAGTTTCGCTTTGAAGCGTGGCACAAAGAGACATTTTCGTTTGTGCAAATTAGGTCACACTAAGACTTGAGGGTATATAATGGTGTTTGAAGAGCCTCTTTAATAAACTAGGATGATTAATGTTACTTCCCCTCACCCCAAAGTTCATATATCCACATGCAACGTGTAATGAGGAGACACTGGAATGACTCGGAGGTGACATTTCCTTTGCCGTCTTACGGGATCACAATCCAGACTCTTGAGGGAATAGTGGAATACGCACACTTGTGTATTGTACCTTCCTCACATGCAACAACACCGACACACCTCTTCCAGCACGCATTCACCGAGCTTCCAAGGAGCAACAACAGCGGCCGAAAGCAGCAGTGAGGCACATAAACAGAGTCGGTCTACACCCGCCCCTGATCAAGCCAGACCATAACAACAGGCCCCATAGCTGACTAGCCTCAGGCACAACAAACAGTGCTTTGATATGGTGTTAAACATCCCATTCCCTCCAACACACACACACACGCACGCACACAAACAGTGCACCCTATTGTGTCAGGCCCAGCAGGCGTCATGTGATGGAGCGCTGCTAGTTTAGCTACCTGCCTGATGCAAACAATAGGGCTGACTTGACTGGGAGGTTACTAGAGGGCGCCGTCAAAGGGTTATTATAGGGCAAGCTGCGGAGGTTACTACAGTTCAACAAGGATTGGCATGAGGTTAATATCAGCCATTGGGTCTCCGAACACACCGCTAAATATCTTCAAAGCGCGTTTGGCTCTGCTCTAAGTTTAGAGCTGTGATGTTGACGAGATAAGAAACGTGAGGAGACATGCCGAGTGTGACTGTAGTGTTTTATTCAACCAACCACCTGTGCCAATGTACACTATGTGCGCCAACTGTTGGCTACCAGGCTGCTGAGTAAGACATCAAACACTTGCTCTCCTGCGGTTGCGGGACACAGCTGCGCACGCTTTGTTGAGCGAAATTCCTTTTATGATTTATAAGAATAGCAATATTACACTACAGTAAACATCCTCGCAGTAAAACAGGTTAACATGCTCCACAACACAGGTAACTACAGTTCACCCATCGTAGCTGTTCCTGCTCGACTTCCCCGAGGCTGCATGAGACACATCAGATACGCACTCTTGGAAAAACATGACCGAATATCAACACGCAGCTGCTCCGAGAGTAGAAGGCAACGATTTCTCCCACTGAGTTTCCCACAGAGTGAAGCTGTTTTGCTTCTGTTTCTGCTCCAAAACAAGACCCCTTAAGGAGATCTTACTTCTTGCGAAAACAACGAGGGCAGCGGTTTTCTTTTTTTTACAGATTACAAATTGCTGTTTTGCTTCTGTGTGAACCAGCTGTCGGTTTATCTAGGACACACACGCTGACACACACCTATCTGCGCGTCCTTGCCCACCACATAAAAGGAGATAGCGTCTCAGACAGCTGTCCTGGATTCATTCTGCTCAGATGGTGTTGTGCTTAGTCAGCTCTTTTCAAGGTTTCAAGGCACAGCGTTAAATCCCGTCATCTCCAGACTGATGGATGCAACCGAAACATATTTTTGTCTTTTTGAAATGTTTCCTTAACAACTACTGATGCGCAGTGACAGGACATGTCTGGACAAAAAAAGATGTTCCTCTGTGAACCCATCCAGTTGACGCAGGCCTGTAACCAAGGTGACAAGATGTGAGACAGCAGGCCGCGTAAATGACAGCCGCGGTCAACTGAACAGGCATCCGAGCAGATGAGAGTGTGTTTGGTCAATATGACTCGACAGTCTCGGTCTAGCCACACGTTGTTGGAGAAGACGACTCAAATCGAGAAGCTGCTTCTTCACCCTTTTGATTCACCAGCATAGATTACGAATTAGAGACTCTGTGCGTGCATTATTGCAGAGTCATCTGTTGAGCGCGCCCAAAAAACACAGCAGCCACCTCGGCATTGCTTTTTTGTTTAGACTGGCCCTCACTAACATCCAAAACACAGGCTGAATGCCAGGAAGTCTGAGCCGAGACCAAAGTCTCCTGGCCTACTTTCGCCGTGTTAGAGTGTAATACATCTACATTATCGTCGTTTCTTCCACAGAGATGCCACATAATCACACTCCTAAAGGCTTATTCATTCATTCATGGCGGCCCCATGAACGCGAACGCTGCGGAGGAAATGAAAGCTGTTCAAAGCAGTGGTTGTGGGGGAGGAGAGGTCATGAGAAGGTGCTGCTGCCTACTTGATTGCCTGGCTGGAATAATTCAATTAAAGTGAGCCTGAACTCGGAGTTAAAAAGAAATACTTGGAAATAGGTCACTGGAAACAGAACTGAACTAAGACGAACCGGCTGAGACGATTTGAGCTTTTCTGCCGATTTCTTCCGCCCAGTCTCCGAATCATGCAGATCAAACTATGAAATGTCCTTAAATGAAAAAGGCTGGTGCACTTTAAGCTAGTCGATGTTCAGCCGTTTTGGCATGTCTGACCTCTTTGTGCAAAAGTTTGAGAAGTCTTAATGAGTTCTTATATACTCTGATGCATAGGAAGGCCCGAAGGAGGAGCAGGAAACTCTGTGCAGCTTGACACCCATCATCGAGTCCGCTAAACTCCCCAGTCTGTTCCACCCGGCTATAAAACTTTTGTCTCATTTTTATGCGTTCAGCCCCAACCCAGTGTCTCTTCCCACAGTAGACAGAAAGTCAGCTGCTCCACTTCGCAGAAGAACAAAACGTCCCCTCAATCTGAAACCTAACACCTCTGCCTGGAGACTGCAACCCATCCAGCCAATCGCATGCAGAGTTTCAGACCTCATCGGCAGGCCTCTCAACAATGCGGTTTGTAAGCTAGTCAAATATCACACAGCCAGAAGCTGTGTACTCTCAGAGGTTACTATCAGTCAATGAACTTTAGTAAACTCCGCTCAACATCTTTCTCCAAAGGCGTGGGCTGGATGGAAAGTTGACAGTAAAATACTTATTACAGTTTAATCGTGTTTATACTGAGAGCTTGAAATGATTGTTTTGCAACTCTCAGCTAAATTACACATCATACGCTTATGCTGTTTGTGGAGTAAAGCTGAAAGCTATACGCCATTAAAACAAAGATGCTGTTTGTGTGCTAAACGCTTTGGGTTACAGGCTGGTGCCCTGTACTGGATGGTAAAACATTAATTAAAGCCACAGTGCTGATCCTCAGTTCAGGCGCCAAACAAATAAAACTATTCCGTCATTCTTGGACTAAGACTTATTCCCTGACTTCAAACTGCGGCTGGGGTTACTTGAGAGCAAAACAGGCAAAAAGGAGGACAGAAATTCTCAGGGAGAGTGAAAGCCACTAATTACTGATGTTGGAGCAGGCTGATAAGAGACTCAAACAGGAATCTTGTGCGATCTCTTTACATTCTTCACACTTGACATGAGAATTTTTCTGTGACCTGAATAATTTACCTCAGATTGTTTAAGGCAGAAAATTAGATTAAAGAGGGATTTTAAGCTTTTGTATCCATGTTCTTGGATAACCTAATGTTGCAAAATTATTGCTGAATTATAAAAGAATCTAAAATATGCATGAACTGTTTAGGAAATCTGTGCAAAATAAAAAGTCTGTTTGGCAGAAACGCCTCTCAGCTGGCCAGTTGTACTCACACTCCATACAGCTGCGATTTATATCACCATGCACTGGGGGAAAGGCAAGGAAACACCCTGAACGGATCAATACTCTGACGCAAAGCTAACTCATGATGTGCGGCGCACTGACTTCTGCAGAGTCTCCAGTCCCTTTGACCAGAATGTCTCTGAACTGTCTCTGATCAAATAAGGACGAAAGGATTCCTGTCCTGGGGGAGCGATGACTTTAAAAGAGTTGGACTCAGTGTGGAATTATTTCCACTGCTGTGCTGCATCATACTTGAGACAGTTTTGGAAATATGTGACATGTTTGACTTTGAGGAAATATATGTCATGTCTAGGAGGTGTTGTTCCTACTTCTTATTTGCATATCTGTTAGTCGAGAAACTCTTAAGAGAGACAAAAAAAAACGTACATGCAAATTTGATAAGACGTAATTAACACTGATAAGAATAAGTCTTCTGGGTTGAAACTCATTTGACTTTTGGTCTGCACTTTGGTTAAAGATAAGCTAACTCCCAAAGGGGTTAAACAGGTTAACAACCAGGACCGCAGAAAAACTTTCACTAATAGCTGCGACCTCTCAGGGTATCCAGCGTTCGCCTGATCAGAATGTTAAATAAGAGGGTCTAATGAAGGGGAAACATTCATGTATTTAAACCAGAAACACCCCCCAGCAAGCACTGTTTAATGGTGCAGATAACACAGGCTGTTGTTGAGGCCCCTGGGTCAGTGTTCCTTACCCCCACTAGGCAAACTGTTGCATCAAATCAGCTGATATGCCATGGAAATACACATCGAGCGCTTTATAAATAAACGTTATATTTGGCAACAGTTTCAAATTTAGATAAGCACTGATCAAGTGATGAGGACAAAAAAAACCAACAACAAAAACAGTCTGAGGCAACTTTCAGAGCAAGAACAGACTCCCTAGTCTCAACCCATTAGAGCGTTTGAATGGTTTTGACTCTGTTTTTGTTCAATGTGGCCCCTTCAGATGCCAAAATAGAAGCACTAGAAAAAAAGTGGATTATTTGCACTGCAGGATAGGAAACTATATGGATGAAGAGAAAGTCTAAAAGCAATGAGATTAAAAGAAAATAGGTTTTCAGAAGTCAGGGATGCAGCTGCCACAGAACTCAAGCTGAACTAAAGCCTCAAATATATGAAAAGACCCACATCTCCCTCCTCTCAGGAAAGGTTAATGATGTAAAAAAAATCCTTGATAGCAGGAAATTAAACATTAAAACCAGTTTATAAGCCGCCACTATTTACATTTATAGTTTTAAATACCTGAAGTTTAGTCTGGATACATTTTCCAGTAGAAAGAGACGCCAAAATAAAGAAGAATTTAATTAACATTAAGTACCATAACAGTGAACTGGAAGTGAGCACGAACACACAGTGATGTGCTGGACTTAATGTGGCAGCAGAGTACACTGCTGCTTATATAAGCGGCTCTGTGTGTGCTCAGTTCAGGCAGGTTATGTAATAAGGTCTATAAGAAGGGTGTTGGGAAAGAGGCCCACCCCTCAGCTCAGCTATGAGTTGTGCCCCTGTACCGGCCTTTCAACTCGGTCCGCATACCGTGGAAAATATGTAACTCTGGCTTCATGGAGCTGCTTCTTATAGAAGAGCTGAACAAGAAGAATAAAAGTATTCAGTGGCTTGAGGTTTGATTCACTTGTAAATAACCTTTGGTATTGTCTCGAGGCGCAAAGAAAAGGAGTGTTTATTTTCTGTCAGTGAAAGATTGGCTGCAGTATGCATGAGGAAGTGTCTCTTCTGGTGTTATTTGAGCCAAATGAGCAAAGTAAACATGTCCTGGAAGTCAACTTTTACTGCAAATCAGGAAGAAAATTAATACTGCAGTTAGTCTGTCTTACAACTTCATAAATGTATAACTTTATGACCCGTGTGTTGATCATGAAAATGGAACCACTGAGTGCTGTCAACACCCTGCTCTCATCTTAAAAACTGATGCCAGTGTTTGCCCTTTACCTCTTAAATAAAACAACATCCGAGCAGATGGATGTTGTGGCGTGCTGCGCCAAAATTAAACATATAACTAGACAGCATGTTGACGTTTGTCATGTGAAGTGTGAGCGTTTAGAAGCAGACACCCCGCATACCCTCGCCTGCTTCCTCGCATCTTTATCTCACCTTTATTCGCCACCCTGTGACCCCCCCCTCCGCCCGACGCCAGCCATCTGTTGATAACCCCCGCTAATCTAGTGGAGGTCAGGGCACAGGCAGCCAAGTGTCCTCCACGTTCACACACACTCTGCCCCCGCTGCCTTTCACTTTCCTCTTCAAAGGTTTGCCAAATATGGGCCAAAGAGGAGGGGGAGTGAGACAGCCAAAGAGGAAGTGCGATCATGGACAGATAGTTTGTATCAGACAGATAAAAATGTGGCGAGGGAGCGGAGCTGAAATGTTTATATCTGTCGGAGAGAGAGAGCAGTGGGGGTGAGAAGCAGTTGAGGGTGAGGCGGGGGAGAGTGGGTGAACTGGGCAGTCACTGAGCGCTAACTGGAATGCCAGCCAAATCCTGGCCAAGGCAGATACATGTCAGTTTAATGAACACTTCTCGCGGCGTGCCGTGTGTGCGCGTGCGAGCGAGAGGGCAAGAGCAGCGTGGCAGAACTTAAAAAGACAGCAAACAAAGCCCCCGCCGCTCCTCCCTCCACATCCACAACTCCACGCCTGCAGCATCAAACATTCGCAGACAAATGCAACATCCATGGGAGAAACCGTTTTTAGGTTCCGACGGTTGTTATTGCACTCGCTATTTATAACATCAAACTCGAGTGGGGCTGGGATGACTGAGTCAGGGTGCAGACTTGTCAGGACTTGTTTCTTTGTTAAAACTGGTGGGGTTTTGTTTCAGTTAAACTGGCAGAAAGTCGAGATAGCTCTGGGAAAATGTGACTCGAACTTCATTTGCTAAAACAACTCTTTGCCGGCCATTGTGACAGTAAAAATAAAAAACTGCACTAGGATCTTGCGAAGGGTACATGACATTTCTGCCCTCACTCTTTCAAAATTTATTGTGTGTCTTTTTATGGACACCATCTGCACCGGTGACTCATGATGACATATCCTGTGAAACCTAACTAAGTAAACACCCTATGCTGGCCTGTCGCACAGTTTCCAAACAGCATCTGCAAAAATGTCAAACAGAGAGCGGTGCTTTTGTTGCGACGAAAATGGTCACAAACAATTGAGACAAAAAAAAGCACACAACAAAAGTTATTCTGAGTTGAATGGGGGGCAGTGACAGAGGTCCTGGCTGCCACACAGAGGGTCCCTGGGGGCAGACACAGAGCAGCACACAGCCCCCGGTGCTGCTGGGTCACATTTCCTGCCTGAAGCTGGAGGAACTAAACAACCTATAGTAACCCCGGAAGAGCTCAGGGGAGAGGTTACTACAGGACATTTACACTGAGCCAGAAACAAAGTGATCAGATTAAACACAGGGAAGTTGCTTGTGACTGTTTCTTTCTTTCGCCCACAGCTTTTGCTTGTTTCACATCACATGAACCCTTAACGGATCTAAGAATTTAAAGCAGGTGCCAGTCAACAAGGTGGTTTTTTTAAAGGTATGTTGCGGTGCAAACACAAGTAGGAAGCGGTTAAGTACAGTGTGCATTTGCCCGTGAGCAAATTCAGTCATGTGACGGATTTGCCCACAATGTCTCTGCAGCACATGATGTGGTAAACATACCTCGTCTGTTCCTGCAGAATCAGATGGGGCTCCACAAAGAACTTTACACGCAGCCTCAGTCGACACGGCGTCAAATTATCCATCTGCTGGCAGATACGGTTCCTCAGATTCAGCCACAGGTTCTCCCCTTTGCTGCCAGTAAACTGCAGCCCGAAGTAGTCCACTTCTATTATGCCCAACTTTCTGCAAACCTGGAGAGAGATGAAAGAAAAAAAGCACAATAGTGGAGTTGGCACATAGAAATTCTAATAGGCTCTCCACACCAACTGCATGGTGAGTATTAGGGGAATTGCAAAACACAGAAGTACATGTTTATGCATTTTAAAAGCAGGACGGTACAATAGGTTAAGAGGTCACCAACATGTTTAGAGTCTGTGACAGCAGGCCACAGCATCCTTGGAAAGGACGATCCATATTTGGACTTCTTTTGGAGGAGGGGTGCAGCAATGATCAGTGATGTTGCACAAGATTTGCACGAGACTGAGGAAACAAAGGTGCCTTATTCTTTGGGATTTCGAGGACTACTCACCACCCTCCTGTGCTACTCTCCCACAGATAAAACGCATCAATATTCTAAAAGCTCACGATAAGAAGGAAGTAAACTTGGAGGCTCTCCCGGGATTAAAAAAAAAAAAGGGGGCTCATCAAACCCCTCAATCCCACGCCCCCTGAGCGGCAGCAGCCATGAGGTTATTACATAACTGCTGGTGGAGGTCTGCAGGGAGCCCGGAGGCTGAGATAAAACTCATTCATACCCACGGCAGGTTGGAGGTCTGCCATGCATTTAGAAGAGCTTTATATTTACTAAGTGAAGAATAAACAACTCGGGGGCTACTGTTGCGAGTTAAAGTTCGCATGCTTCCCGTGGTCATGTCCATGAGAGGAAAATCTTCACAACAAAAAGTTGAGACGGAAGTTTCAGTTTGAGTGGAGCGTGAATGCTGAGAGGCTGCAGAAGAATGAACTCTAGTAACCCTTACAAAGCCATCTGCTTTTGACGAAGAAGACGAGCAGGTAGAGGCGACACTTTAACACCATGGTATCTAAACTTTCCTGGAAGTGTTGGCTACCAGATTTACACATTTGCATCTGTGCGCAACTGTACTGGGGTTCAGAGTCAGAAACAGATGTGTTTGGGGGGGTTGATGTTGCGCGCAGGAGAACATTGTGTCTCCGTCGACCCCTTTGTAAAACATGAAGCAGAAGTCCCCACAGTTAGAGAGAAGAATTAGAAAAGCGTGCGGAAAAAAAGCCCCATTTAAATATTCTTTGTCGTGCAGATACCGGATCCAGTCCCTCGGTGTTGTTTACTGGAGTATGAGTCACGCACAAGAGACGAGAGCATCAAAACCAAGTTTGGGGAAATGGAAATGTTGAAGTTTTCCAACAAAAGTAACAACAACAACAACTCCACTGCCAGTAAACTGCTTCCTCACATGTCATGCAAAACACAATTCAGTGTTGAAACAAAGCCTACCTTATTCAGACAGTCTTCACCGTTCGCCTTCGAGTCAACTTCCACTTCCATCACCACCGAATCCGGACGCGTAACGTGGCAGAGCATTTTGTCCGTGTCTGTGTGTGTGTATCTTTGGTGTGCCACTCTTTAAAAAATAATAAAACACTACTCGTGCCTTCTTTATAAAAACCCTACATGAAGCCTTCGTCACTTTCTCAGCCTTTCCTCTCCGTGTGGCGAATCTGAAGCCACCAGCTGTAGCCTATATCAATGAAACGCCGTGCGCAGCGCCGCCTCCTCGCAGCTCACCAATGACGGACAGCTTGACATAACCGCTGAAAAAACCCCAACCAATCCGAAGTCGCGTTTCATCCGCACGCTGCTCTGGCTTGAGCTCGCCTCCCGTGCGTGGAAGTGTGAGGGGGTCCGCTGCGCCCTCATCTGGTCTGCCTGTTGCAAAAGAAGGGACCTAATGTGGCTTTCAACTCACCTGAACCCAATGATGATGATTTGGAGTCTTTGCCGAGCTCCAGCAGACTTTAAGGGTGAGTTTAATGGCTCGTATATGGGTGCCTCACTCACTTTATGTGAATAATAAATGGCAACGTCTAGAAATAGCTGCGAGAATGCGAAGCTGCCTCTCTTGCAGTCGAAAGCTAACATGAAAATTTCATGGTGACGGCCCTGTTGTATTAAAAAACCACCACCACATGTTCACTATACTGTCCTTTGCGTAAAATGCGCACTGACCTTGTCCTCAAATCGAAGACACATTTCTGAAACCGTCAGTCTACACTTTTTAATCAAATTTGGGAACAAAGAGCCAAGATTAAACCGGCTCCTTTGACATCAGTTCGATTCAAAGTTGAATCAATCACGTGGCAGATTGCTCCGATGAGTTTATTTGACGTTCAGACACGTGTACAGTTAAATCTGAGCAGGACAATATTTCATTTTCTGCAGTAAGGGACAGTGTAGGTCAGACAACACTGCAGAAAACTGCAGCCACATGCTCACAGCCGACTTACTTACATTGAGGAGGCATGGTGTGCAGCCAAGCCCGTGTATGTCTGCCAGGGGACATTTTAGAGTACAGACACTGTGCCTTAATGCCTCCATATTTTTGGACTCTCCTACCACTGCATTCCTGACGCAGAGAAACACTATGGACCAAGACAAAGCTCCCAAATGTTATCAATTTATCCACTGTATTAAATCATTTAGGCCTGCCATGATGAGTTAGATATGATCCAAGGTTGACACAATGCCTCTGTGAAAATGCATTTGTATGTGTTAGTTTCACTTTGAGGTTGCCTTATCAACTGTTGATAAAAAAATGATAGTGGGAGGATTAAACTGACTTCTGGACTCTGATTCATATGTAATCTCTCACAGGAAGTGTGGTTTTCTACGGAGCGCCTATGGTGACATTTGAGAAAAAAGATTAATGCGTGGCCACCTGTTATAGTTTTTTAGTGACTCTTCACTGGCTTCCAGTCCGCTTCTGCATTGATTTGAAAGTTCTTTTAATTGTTTTTAAAGCCCTCAATTTTCTTGCCCCTCCTTACCTGTCCGAGCTCCTGTATCACCACTCTCCAGCCAGAGCTTTTAGGTCCTCTGGCCATTTACTGTTGAACGTCCCGAAAACCAGACTCAAGTCTAGAGGTGAAAGGGCCTTTTCAGCGGTTGCCCCTAGACTGTGGAACAGTTAACCTGGCCATATTAGAGCCTCGCAGACCTTAAGACCCACCTTTTCTCCCTTTCTTTTAATAAATGAGCACACAGGAATCAGAGGCACTGTAGCTTTTATTCTTTTACTGTTTTTAATTTTATTTTTTATTTGTATCTATCAATTTATTTACTTCATTTATCCCATGTACAGCTCTTTGTTTGACTGCTGTCTTTTAGAGGTGCTTTATAAATAAACATTGACTTGACGAGATAATTCAGCTTAAGTAGCGGGCTCTACCAGGGGGATTTAGAAGAAGTTTGTTTGATTCTTGGATCTTTGGACCCTGATGTCTCAGCCATCCGTCTATCCAGGACACTAAACCTACCCTCATTCATTCAGCATTACCAACACTGACATGTCTGGCTTCACGTAGTCCACTGCCCCTGTGCACTTGAGTCAATGCAGGTGTAGATCTAAGGGACTAATCAAGTTTACATTTACAGAGTTTGGTAAAGTTGGAAAGATAGTCACAGATTCGGACTTCTGGGATCAATAACGCTGAGATGAAACGTTGTCCAAACACAAATGATGCCTCTTTCACGTCATAATAGCACAGACGACTAGCTACAAGAATCAAAAACAGGCTTGTTACAAAAACAAGCCATTCTTCGAGCTGGATGAATAATATTGATCTCTATTTACAGCCAGTAACTTTCTCATGCCCACAACTTATTATCCCGTGGCAATGAGATACTAACTCGTGGCCGTGCATTTATTATTTTTCTCCAATGTCACCAGTTGGGCTCCATAATTTTGTATGTTTAATGGTGATACATTTTAAAGGGTTTTGATGCTACCTATTGAAAATTTTGAGAGGAAAAGTCAAGCTCTGTAAGGATTGTGTAGGATCAGTTTGTGAAATATAACTTTATGATGACGTGGATTGAGTTTGGATGAGTGTTTCCCTTTGTCCTCAACAGATTATTTAATGTTTCTCTCTGTGTGTGTGTTACTTAGTCTCTCAGTCTGGAGTGAGAAGCTACAAGTGTCCTTTTGCCCCCGAGTGATGTAAGAAGGCTAACAGTGAAAGAACGCAGAGACATGCAGCCTGAGCAGCCCCTTCAACCATAAAAGGAAACGTTGGCGCGAGTGACCTAACGTCCACCGTTGATGACATGGCACAGGAGGTAATCACTGAACAAGCAGGATTGCACACTTACCATCACACACACGTGCACATATGAACTCTGATTGCTCACACAGAGCAGCTGCAGATACGCCGCTGTTACGGCTCTGTTGTTTTTGCTTTATCTTCCTGACTTTGTCTCACAGAATCCCAAAAGACAACATCAGACATTAACAGCCTTCTGTGGTTAAAAAAAAACATATAAAACATTAAAATTTTAACCAAAACAATACAGTGTATACATCTCAATTTTCTAGCTGTATGTGTATTTTTACAGACATCCACAGATAATGTGCGATTAAATCAAAGTAATCATTGCAAATCAATAATGTCCACTCCAAAATACAGATTTAAAGGCACAAAGTCTAGTCAGAGGCAGGATGACAGTATTTTGATAGGGATAGAAGGTACTGAGACCACTACCATAAACTGTCATTGCATCAATAAAGGTACCACAAGTTCCCATCTTTCAATAAAGGAGGCCCTCCGAATCCTTAGTGAAAATGTGATCTGCTCCATTTGATAAACATCCCAGACTTTTTGAATCCAGATATTGTATAAGGGAGGTTCTGGTTTCAACCATCTGATGGTTATAGACTTCAAGGCTGCTGTCAATAATATGTTTAAGAGGTATTTTTCTGACCTCCTGTCCAAACCTTCAGGCATTACTCCCAGTACTGCAACCTTGAAGTTGCATTACTCCTTCAGGGTGTTGAAAACCTCCGTCCAAAACACACTTAATTTAGGGCATAGCCAGAATATGTGGGTGTGATTTGCTGTTTGAGCTCTGCAGTTTCTCCAACATGAACTTTGATATTATGGACCCATCTTGGACACTATCTCTGGTGTTCTGAAGTATCCAGTTATTATTTTCCATCTGAATTCCCTCCATGTATTAGAACTTGTAACCAGATGTGCTGATATTATATTTTTAAAAAAGATTCCTGGATTTATTGTGGATGTATTTTGGCTTATTGTGTTTTTCTTTGCACACTTATTACAACACAAACACAAATAAATCAAAACAAACAGGCGTAATGCATCTCTTAAGACTCTCTTTGCACATCTAGGTCAATTTCGGGTTGGGGGTAGGGGGCTTTTTTTTTTTTAACCATCTGCGCTCTCGCACACACATGGACCATTTGCAGACTCCTGGTTCCGGGCTAGGTATGACATCATGCAATTTGACATCACTTCCCTTTGAGGCAAGTCACCGCTGACTCGACTAGAGCGTGAAAACATAGCCATGCAGGGGTTTGTGTGTGTATGTGTGTGTGTGTGTTTGCATGTGGGCACATGACATCACAGCGTCATCACTGCCCATCTCCATAGCCAAAGCTGTGCCTCTTGAAGCAGATATTATGTCAGCAAGTGCCATGCTAGCAGAGCTACTGCGGCTGTTGTTATATTTGTTGTGCAGGCGTTTATTTCTTCCTTTCAATCCTTTGATTCCTTCGCTCGTACGCTCCAAGACGGGCAGCGCCAGGCAGGGGACGGATTAGGCGAAAAGAGGGACTTGTGTGCCCAATATGAGGAAAGGCCAGAGGGCGAGCAGCTCCTCTGAGTCGGACGAGAATCAACAACTGCGGTCAGATGGTTCTTCAGATCGGTCGTCGCCAAGTGAAAGCTCATCCGATGAAGGATCATCATCTCCACCCTTCACCATGGAGGCAGAGGGTGTGATGAAAAGGAGCCAGAGGTTCAGCAGTTCTTTCAGCTTGGAAGAAGATAATCAGCTACAGCCAAAGGATGAAGACAGTGAGGATGAGTCTTCGCCACAGAACCCTAACGGAGTACCCATCACCGAGCAGGTGGAGGCAGAATCAGGAGCGGAGAGCGTTTTATTAGAAAAAAAACAGGACTCTTATTGTGACAGGAATATACCCCAGAGGTCGGGTTTATTCAGGCCTCAGGAGTTATGGCTGGCAGTGACGAGATGTCTCTCCCTCCGATGGCCTCCATGTCTGTCAATCAACAGACAAACAAACAGGAAACTAGCTTACCAAATGGACCTTGACCAATCAGAGGACACACAGTCGTCCGGTAGCTCTGATTCAACCAATGACAGCTCCTCGAGCCTTTCTACATCAGACGACAGGGATGTGACATCGACCAAACACGAGGAAAAAGAAGTGAAAAGCAAAGGGGTTAAAAGTGGGCCGGCCCGCTTTCTTGGGATTTCACGTTCCTCCCCTAGATTGCCGAAAGCTAAACAAGCTACAGACTCCGTGCTAGCTTCGATGATCCTGGAAAAAGAAATGTTTTTAAGGATTGAGCTGGTGGAGTCGGGCGACGAGAGGGAAGATTTACGCTACAGGGCAGAGTGGAAGCTGTCAGAGAGAACTAAAGAACTGGCAGAGGGAGTGTGGCTTTCTCGAAGCCAAAAATTGATGGATTGAACATGAAGTTTAGAGGCTTGGCTGCCTTCGATTGGATAGTCTTTTTATTATTCACCCATCAAGCTGGATCGGTTATTGCAACCATCAGTAAATTGGTTATTTTAATAATCTAATCCTAGTTTGTTTTACTGCTGATTAGAAGTGGCCCAGATTTCAATGAATAATCAGTCAGATTGGTTTCACATGATGAGTGCAAAACTGTTGTGTGTAGATTCAAGCTGTGCTGATAAGACTGCACTGACTGTTGCTTACTAATTAGAAAGGCTATTTTCAGAAACACAGCACACTTAGAGTTAATGTTTGTTTTTCCGCCTTTCTGGGTTTTCCAGAGAACATTTTATACATGGCTGGTTCCATGCCTGGGAGGAAAGGGAGATCTAGTAGACTTTGTCATGTACTGAAAATAAAAGTCTTATTCTGATGTCGGATTATTTTTCTACACATAAGATATTATGCTGTTTGCTAAATAAAAGAAATAGAGGTAAATGATCAGCAGTATGGTAGTGTAGGTACCCCTCATTGCCAGCTCAAGTTCCCCACGTCTCCTAAAACAATTCTTCGTTTTTTTTGTTTCCCAAGGATCTTCAACAATCTGTAAGCCAAAGAAAATGCTGAGTCACATTTTCCCCTCAAATTAAGCAGTCTTTTAATGCGATCCAAATGCGAGAAAACAACATGATTTCCTGCTGGATACAAACGAAGCCCTCACATGCAATATAACAATGCGTGACTGAATAATCATAATCTATCATGACACGTGCAGGAAGATCTCTCCATGGCTTTTTGCTGTAACCTATTTTTAACATGCATGCATAGGCTTAACCTTGCTGCTACAAAAGACTAGAATATGCATATATAAGGTGTCTGCATATATTGCATACATACTCGAGTCCTTCCTCCTCTGGTTGCATTATATTTGAATATGCTACTACAGATACTTACATGTTCTATTTACACACTGTTTCCTCAAATGGAAACTGGATATTAAATCTTTTCAGTATTTTGGTTTTGCCTTTCATAGCTTTCATTAGACAATGCAAAAGATACCTTGAACTGATGCAGGGCTTTGACGGCTCATTGTAAACCTATTTAAATGCGGCATAATAGAAAAAGAGGTGTGCATAATAGAGCTGGCATACAGTGTGGAGACTTGGAGAGCACTGCTGCTTGGTTTGACTGTCAGTGTCAGTTAACCTCATCACGTCCATTGTAGTAAACTAGAAATGTAAGTAATTCATGTTCCAACAGTTCATTTCATACTCTAAAAGGCAACACGTGCACATGTGAAATAGATGAGCGTAAGAAAAAGAAATTGGTCTCATCTGTCTTAAATCAAGACTTTTGTCTCTGAAGCCTCAAAACTGGAAACCCATCATCACTAAAGCTGGCCTCGTTATGCAAAAATAGGATGTACCAGAGAAGACGACACAATCTTGCAGCGAGTTTATGTGAAACGATAACTCTGCTCCTCTTAAAATATGATTTGACACTGAATGTGAAAAACCCCAGAGTCATTATCCAAGTGAGAAAAATGTATCTGAGTGACTTATTTGGGAAAAAATACAACTTATTCACAATAGTGAGTCATCTTCATTTGATGCATAAACAATAAAACGTATCAAATAGATAATAAATTAGTAGTTTCTCTCCTGATTCTCTATAGCGCGCATACTAAAAGCGATGAAGTTTATCATAAGTTCGTCTTTCCCTGTGCAGAAGAGTTCTTACTAGGACTGGGCGATTTGGCCAAAAAGGTGATCACGATGTACTTTGTCATATCGTCCAATCTCGATTATTACCCCGATTTTTCTAAACAGCCAGTTTTAAAGCATCTGTACTTAAAACTAAAAGATAAATGGATAAATACCAAATAAGACGTTAAATAACTTTTCTTCTCAACAATAACATCTTCGGAGGATGACTCAAAGTCATGGCTGACATCTATTTTACTGCCCTCAGCTCCAGGTTCGGTTACTCTGTTTACTTCTCCGGCAACTTACAGAAGTGAGCAGGAAAAGCTCGACTCTGATTGGCTGTTGTGATGCACATTTTTGCAATGTTTGATTGAGTAAATAAGCTCACAGCTGATCACTGTGATCGAACTGAAATTTATCACGATCATTAATCACGATCATATAATCGCCCAGTCCTAGTTCTTCTTACACTGTCACACTCTGAATAAGTGTAAGATCTCACCAACTCTTTCCCAAATGTTTTTTGAAGCAAAAAGTTTCCCCCATTACTTAGACCTCCCCAGACAGGAAGCACACAAGATCCCAATGACAACATCAAACCTCAAGTACCATTAAGATTGAAAGCAGATAAAAGGACAGTATATGGACTGGCGAGTCCCTCCTTCCTTGTCCCACTCAGTCGTGTAAGAGTGTTAGTAAACTCTGCTGGAAGGAGCCGTCTCCAAAGATAGTTACGTAATGTGGTGATGGGCTGCAAATCCCAGCAGAGGACACACGTTCTAGCCGCCAAAGGACAAATGTGACTTCACAGAGTTTTGAAGTCTTAGGAGGCTCGCCAGACATTAATTGCTTTAACTCTGCAGCCTTTAGTTACACTCTATTAGATTTAAAGCTTTTTAGAAAAGCCGTTACGCCTTACTGAAAATTGGGAGACAACCACTGTCTCTGATATAAGCCTTTATACGCTTTAAGTGATCTAAAAGGATGAAGACCTCCTCAAAAGTTGGAAAAATGTAAAATTTGGAGGGACCGGTCGATTCAAAAAGCAAATTTATATCTACTGTATGCACTGTAAACCTTTTGTCAAGACTTCAGCTGAAATCCTGAACCATTAGAGACTAGAGGATCTGTGAACCACTTGACAGGTTCAGACTAATTAGACAGGATTACAGCCTACTGATGATAATGATGACTCAGCAGAGTGCTTTTAGCGAGCAGTTTGCTCACAGATGTTTGTTTACAAGCGAATCCTAATGAGGAAGAGAGGCTACAACATACTGAATAGTGTGTGCCTGTAAATGTATAATTTTTTTTAATCTGAGGTAATTTTTTTTCGACAAGGTTAGCATCTTAAAAGAAGACGACAAAAAAAAAAAAAAAAATGCTGACTAAGCAGATTTCAAAAGGATGTAGACAGAATGAGGACATTTCTGAAGTGAAAACCACACATTGATCTGTATCAGTATTTAAACTGCGTGTACATACATGCATATATATTTTTTTACTTGTATCTGAAGCCCAGGGATCCTGTGAGTGTTTATATGCTGCAGGTTAATTTGTGGATTTATCAAGAAAAAAAAGCCACCAGCTAATTCCCTGTTTGCACCGGCATATAAATGTTTAAGCAAGAAAGAAAAGTGTTAAATTTGTTTTGGGAAAAGGATGCTAATCCCTTTTATCCCAGCCCACTTTGCGCTCTTTATGTATTATAGATGTCTCCGTTGTGTGAGTGCGGTATGTGTGTGTGTCGTAAAGAATGCAGATGGGGCTCAGGTGTGGGCTCGCTCAAGTAGAATTATAGCAGCAGAGCACAGAAGGGCAAAAGGGACACTCGGCCAGTTTGAGCACTTGACTCGGGATGATGTATTGAAGGAAGGAGACTATGCTCTAGGCGTTAATGTGTGTGGTGTGTGTCTGAGAAGGAGAAGAGGGAGTGTGATGGATGATTCCAGAGGGGCACTGGTGATGGCGGTCAAGATTAGAGAGACCTCAGCACTCACACAGGCATATTCTCACCAGTCGGCTTTGTAGACAGGTCAAGGTACTCTGGTAGCATCATGAAAATGTGTTTGTCCTCGTGGGTTTAATAGTCTGCTGGATTGTATAGGTGTGAGAGAGTGTGTGTATGTTTACAGCACAGGGCTGTTCGACTGAAAGATTACCATCATGAGTCGGCTCTGCACACCCTCCTGTTATCACATAAACACATTCACTCTGCTGCTACACTTTGGTGGGAGAGCAGGCTACATACAAGCGTGTCTAACAGAGTAGAGTGGGTATTTTAAACATGCAAAGTATTGGTTTACTGGTCGGTTAATAAACCTAATGGCACTGTGATCATCACCTAAATTTCTACTATAGGTATCCTGAATATTTCTGCAGACAGGACACTGCTGGCCACAACTCGTTTTCATTAATAATTCTCATTTTGTTGCCTTTCCTCCAATTTTGTCTTTAAAGTACATGAACAATTTGCACAACTGCATCTGCTTTAGAGTGAGGGTGTCAATTTATTCTCATTTGTGAGGCTTGATTGTTCTTTATCAGGACAATTGAAATAGTTTTTAGATGAAGACGATTTAATTTGGCCAAAAAGTGTGAATAAAACCTGTATAACCTATGTTTATTGAGAACTGAAAATAATTTCTGACCATTTAGAATGAATGACAAAAGGTAAACATACTTGGAAACGCTCATATTGTCTCTGCTTTTCATTATTTTTTAGTTCCTGTACCAAAAAATCACAAACTAAATGATTATAATCTCCAGCTCTACTTTAGCTGCAGCAGGCAGGCAGGAAAAAAACAATGTTGGGAAGCAAATCAGTAACTAAGAGTATATGTAGTCCATTCAGTCAGTCAGTCAGTCAATTAATCATTGTCCGTATAGCACCAAATTACAATGAATGTTATCTCAAGATGCTTTACAAATAGAGCTGGTCAAGTATGGACCATACTGTTGATATTTACAGGACCCAACTTAGTGAAGAATCCCGTCTTGTTTGATCAGTTCCTCTAATCCCATCTTCATCCACATGAGTGAAACAACGCTGCAAGGAAAAACTTCTTTTGACTGGGAGAAACCCTGAGCAGAACCAGACTACTAATGAAGGTGAGGTAAATAACGGGGGTTGGAGTTAGAACAATTGATGTAGAAAGTGTCAAAAATTTCTACAATTAAGATGAGTTTTTTAACACTGATAGAAATGGAGAGACTGATGCTACTAAACTAATGTTAGCTTTTTAACTGTTATAAAGTGGTGAGATGACTTTAACGGGACATGATGACTCAAAGTTCATGACACAC